GAGTCCAGGATGTTGGAGATGCTAGAGCCATGAGGCTTTTTCCAAGGAGAGCTGCATACATGGAATAATACCAATCTGAGAGAGAGAGAGAGAGAGAGAGAGAGAGAGAGAGAGAGAGAGAGAGAGACAGAGAGAGAGAGAGAGAGAGAGAGAGAGAGAGAGAGAGAGAGACTGCATGCAGCAAAGCTGGAGAGGCTAAGCCATCTAAGCCATTTGGAAGTAAAAGCCCAGAAGTCCGACATGGAGCTACTGGATTTGGTATTTTCCCTGCTGGTTTTCAGGCTTGTTTTGGTCCAATATCCTCATTATGCTCCAATTCCTCCCTTTTGAAATGGGAATGTCCCATTGCATGTTGGAAGTATGTAATTTGTTTTGATTTTACAGGGGCTTACAGTTAAAAGATTGTCTTTTGTCTCAGAAGAAACTTTGGTTTCTCGATTTTTGAATAGTATTGAGATGGTAAAGACTATGGGGAATTTTGAAAATGGACTAAAACACATTTTGTATTTTATATGGTCATGGACCTATTGGGGTCAGGGAGTGGAATGTGGTGATTTGAAGAAGAATGTCTCCCATAAGGTTCAAGTATTTGGACATTTTGTCCCCAGTTGGTAGTGCTGTTTTTGGAGGTTTTAGGAGGCATGCCACATGTCACATGCAGAGGAAGGATGTCACAAGGGGCAGGCTTTGAGAGTTCTTCAGCCTTGCCAAATTTCCAGTTGTTTTCTGTGCCTGATTGAAGATGTGATTGCTTATCTTTCTGCTCTACTGCCATGCTTCCCTTGCCATTAACCCGTTCTAACCCATTGAACTGTAAGACAAATAAACTCTTCCTTTTATAAGTTGCTTTGGTCATGATGTATTACCACAGAAACAGAAAAGTAACTACTACAGTTGTCAACTTGATTCACCTGGGAACAAGAAACTTCAGTTCCAGTCTCCTGCTTTGAGTTTCTGCTTTGGCTCCCTCCCCGCCCCGCCCCGATGATGGACTGTAAGCTATAAGGTGAAATAAATCCTTTCCTTCCCTACATTGCTTTTTGTCAGTATTTTATCACAGCAATGGAAACTTAACCCGAATAGAAATTGGTACTGAGAGTCAGATATTTCTGTGATGAACCTAACTATGTTGTTTGGGGGAGGATTGTGGAAGCATCTGGAACTTTGGGCTGGAAAAGCCATTGAGTGTTTGGAGCCTAGTTAGCTGTTCTGTGAGAACTTGGAGAAATGCAGGTGATGGAGGCCTGACTTGTGAAGTTTTAAGGGAAGCAAAGACCTGGTTTCACTGAAGTAAAACCTTTACTTTACTAGGACAATTGATGATGGTTATCTGGGGCTGAAAGATCAGCTGTGATTAAGAAGAGACTAGCATCACTGTGGTAAAATCTTCTGGGAAGTATTTCCCCAGGGTCAATACACAGAAGCTGTGGCCCAGTGAAGGGCCAAGGGTTCGTCTCAAGCTGTAGCTGAATTTGGTAATGTGTAAGAGTCCCTCACATAGTACTGGCTTTAAAGGCATAAAGGGATCATGAAGAGAATCTGAGGATTGGCACCCTGAAAGACTAGGAGAGGTCACTGGTGAAGGTGCAACTTTAGTTGTAGTAGAGATCCAAGGACTGAGGGGGTCATGGAGAAAACTTGAGTCTTGACACCATGTGAGGCCAGGAGAGGCCATTGATGAAGGTGTATCCTCAGTTTCAGTGAAGACCCCAGGATATAGTAAAGATGCCAGGACCGTGGGATGACCACCAAGGACAGTGCCAGGTGTGGAGTCAGACAGAGCCTACAAGACAGTCTGTGTATGCTGTGGATGGCAGAGCCAGAGAAGTGGAGTTGCTCAAGCCCTTTGGAACCCAGATGTCTATGTTGCAGGCATTTGATTTTGCTTAAATGTGCCTGGATTTTCCTTTTTGAAATAAAGTATTTAACTGTCTTTGATTTTATAGGAGCTCACAGTTAAGAGTCTTTGGATCTTTAAAGAGGACTTGGACTTTTAGAGTATTGGAATTTTTAAGGGCTGGGGGATTTTTAAAGTTGTATTGTTATATATGTTTTTATATTTTATTTATTGTTTTTATTTTATGCATATAAGTGTATTGCTTGCATGTATGTAAGTACATCCATGTTGTGCAATGCCCAGGGAGGTCAGAAGAGGGTGTTGGATTCCCCTGAAACTGGAGTTAAGGACAGTTGTTAGCCACCATGTGGATGCTGGGAACTGACCCCGGGTCCTCTGCAAGAACAGCCAGTGCTCTTAACCACTGAGCCATCTCTCCAGCCCCTATGTTTTATATTTTTATTATTGATTTTAACATGAAATCTCCAGGACAAGAAATGGAATGGTTATGATTTAATAGTGATGTGTTTGTGTCAAATTGACAAGGGGTCAATTGTGCTGGTTAACTGGAAGAGGAAACCTCAGCTGAGGAATTTTCTCTAGTGGATTGGTCTGCAGCCATGTCTATGGGGAAAGAGAATTTTCTTGATTGTTGAGTGATATGGGTCAGCTGACTGTGGGTGAGGCCACCCTTGGACAACTGGTCCTGGGTTGTATAAGAAAGCAAACCTAGCACACTCCAGATGAGCGAGCCAATAAGCAGCATTCCTCCATGGTCTTTGCTTCAATTCCTGCTTCTCAACTTGCTTTTGGTCAGTGTTTTATCGCAGCAATGGAAAGCAAACCAGAAAAGGGAGTGAATGGATACCAGGTAATAGCTAGTATTCTTCCTAACAAATATTATATATCATCCATTCAGTCAGTCATGTCTTCTTCCGTGGAAATGGACTGTCCTAGTTTGTTTCTCCATTGCTGTGACAAAACACTCTGACCACTACCAACATGGGGAGGAAAGGGTTTATTTGGCTTACATCTCCTGGGTCACAGTTCATCAGGGAATCCAAGGTAAGAGCTCAGGGCAGGAACCTGGAGGTAGGAGCTGGAGCACAGGCCATGGAGGAATGCTGCTTACTGGCTTGCTCCTCTGACCCATGCTCAGCTTGCTTTCTTATGCAACACAGGCCCACCTGCCCAGAGGTGGCACCACCCACAGTGGGCTGGGCCCTCTCACATCACTTAACAATCAAGAAGATGCCCCACAGATATGGCCACAGGCCAGTCCAATGGAGGCAATTTCCTAATTGAGGCTCCTTCAACCCAGGTGTGTCAAGTTGACAGTAAAGCTAGCCAGCATATGGACACCCTTAGGTAAGGAGTAATTTCTATGTAATATTTAACCCTGTATAATTCAGTATTGGGCTGTAAATTTTCATGGAATGTGTAATTAAGGCTTACTTTTTTACAGAGTTCAGGACCACCGGGAAGAACTACTCAGACTCAAAAAGTTCCAAATTAGCCAAATCTATTTACCAGGGACAACACTCTCTGAGCCAATTTATGGAATGCCACCCTAAATGAGAGGAGATGGGAGCTTTTAAAGGTAAAGTCCAAAAGATAGAGTCCTGGGGGTGGAGAGATGGCTCAGCAGTTAAGAGTACTGACTGCTCTTGCAGAGGACCCAAGTTCAATTCCCAGCACCCACATGGCAGGTAACAACTGTCTGTAACTCTAGTTCCAGGGGATCCAATGCCCTCTGAGCTTGCAGCATTGCATGACATGAGGGCACTTGTATACATGCAGGCAATACACTCATACACAGAAAATAAAAACAATAAACATTAAAAAAAAAGATAAAGTCCTTGGTACAAGATTTAAACTTTTACAATTTATTAGAATTTTAAAGAAAAATCCTCCGGGGGGGGGGCGGACAGGCAAGCTGGTAATCTTGTCAGCTGCCTTGAGGAGGAGAATAGAGGGGAGAAGGGAAAAAATTCATGAAGTCATGCAGGTTTAGTGTCTGCATGGGGGTCAGACATGGTGGCTGACTTGGCAGCCACATGGCTGGGAGAAGGAAGCTTTAGAGAAAGTTAAGAAATACAAGATGTTAGGGACAGCCCAAAGCCTTAAATAAAGCATGTTTAGAAAAGGGATATGGAGAAGAAAGGGAAAGATTATGCTTTTCTGAATAATTCAGAAAATCGGGAAGACTTACAGACAACATGACTGTAACTGGTCAATAAGTTCTGTGCTAGGAGGCTGGACTCCAGGCAGGAAAAATTCACTATCTCAGTAATGCCCTAGATTACTCCCATCTATTTAACATAACTTAAGATGAACCTGCCTTCCTAGGGATTGTCCTACGACCAAATGATTGACCAGTGAAACTGGAAAGTTGGGTCTTCTAACAGACTAGATTTTATAGTCTTGACCAGTTAAACCTACACAAGATGGAGGAGCTCAGGCTCTTACAACTTACACTAAGCAAAGCTATTACAGTGAGAACCAGACGTTAAAAACGATAGTTTCTAAAATTTCATCCATCATAGCAACTCTTCCTAATTTGTACTACAAGGAGGTGGGGGGAATGAGGCCGGAGTAGTGCGTCCCAAATACAGAAATATAAGATGGTATGTTTCCAACACATTGCTAATTAGTATAGCTTATATCAGGATGGTGATGTAAGCCCATAGCTTACGTCACGGCCTTCGAGTACAGAGATTATGAGTAGGTAAGACCAATGCTATTGTTCATAGGACTGCAGTTATCTCTCCGTTGTTAGACCTTTGGCGTCTAGTTTGTTTGCTTAAGCTCTTGGTGCTCCGTCCAGGAGACTGAAAGACTAGTAATAATGTACTTTTTGTAACGTGAGAAGCCTACGGAGTGTGTTCAGGAATGCTTACACAAGAGTCAGTTGACTTATCAAGCTTTTCTTTCTTTACACTTTCACTTTCTCTAGGCTACACTGAAAACACATTTTAATTTGTTTAGTTGGTCTTCTAAGCATAAAAAGACACCACTACTCCGGATACTTTCGCAACAGCCCAAAAGAAAGGTCCCAAACGCCCAGCTGCCACAAAGCACTCCATTCTTTACGACAGCGCACGACGCCCAGCAGGAAAAGGACGCCTGGGCTGTGCGGGCCAATCGCGTTGCTCCTGGGCGCCGACGTGAGCGCGCTTGTGCATGCGCAGGGCGGGGAGACCTTGGAAAACTCAACAGGCGCCTGGCGGAGGTGAAAGCACTGGCGGAAGGGCCGGCACTGGGGCAAAATGCAGAGCTGGAGCCGTGTGTACTGTTCCTTAGCCAAGGTGAGGGCCGCGGGGTGGGCTGGTATTGGGCCTGAGGTTCGGGGCCGGGTGCGGCCTGGATGGGGACCGCGGCTGCCTCTGGGAAGCCTCTTTCGGCCTGTGCGCGGGGTCCGCAGGGCTCGTCTCGCCGGGGACGTGGCGGACCTCTCGCCGCAGCCGGAGAGCCCGGCGGGCTGGGCCGGGCCCCGCGATCTGTGCGGGCCACCGCCGAACCTGCGCCGAGAGGGCGTGCGGGCCACGCCTAGGCTGTCACCTGGGCGAGGGGACGTGGAACGGCTGGTCCCATGTGGCCTGCCCTTTCATACCGACTGCCCGGTCCCAGCCCTGACAACGGGGGTGGTAACCATGAGACCACTGCTCGAGTGGCTCAGCCGTGGTCAACCCCTGCACAGCCCTAGGAGCTCCTCCAAGGTCCTGTATTCGTGCCTCTGCACTGGTGCCACTACAGGGGTCAGGGCCTCAGGCTTCTGTTTTCAATCGCAGCGGGTGATCTTGAAGACAGCCTTCCTATTTTCCCGCCCATATTGAATGAATGCATGCTGCATCATGGGCAGGGAACCCTGAGAACCTTAGAGAGAATGCAGAGGTCAAACTTGATGTGCCTCGGTCCTCAAAAATGAACGTAAAGTGCAAGTAGTCATGCTTTTAGGGAAAAGCGGAGCTAGGACTCAAACCAGGACTGACGGTCTGCTGCTCTTTGGTTGGCTGTCCTGATGTCAGGTGCAGAAGTTGTATCATTATTACATCGGAGTAATGTTGCCTTCCATTTATTTACCCCCCTGTGATAGGGGCAGGGGCAGGAACGCTGCTTTCTTTGTAGGCATAGGTGTTTAGAGATGTGAGATTATGATACAATTTGTAGAACTTCCAAAATGTGAGTACACTATTGTTGCATTTTCCCAGTTTAATTTTCTATTCCTAGTTGAGGGCTGAAGAACATTCATAGATTGTTGCAGGTAATTACAGACTGTACATACATGATAGAGAGTTAGGAAACATAAAGCAAAATGATTGTTACTGATTATCCAAATACTTGAACTCAAAGTTTCAGACTTAATTAGAATATTAAAATGATCCTTGGCACTAAAAATTAGCCATGCTTTTTGAAATTTTAAATGAAACTGTATACCATTGATTATGTTCTTTTTAGGTTAAATATGTAATGGTTCGTTGAATATTTGTAATAAGGCAAGTTTAAATTACTGTTCTTGACAAAGAGGAGGAATTGATAGGCTATCTCTGTGTGGCAATAGAAGGTCCATTAAGATAGCCCAGTGCTTGATAGATCTAATTTGTTCGGTTGTCATTATCAGCCTTCAGTACTGTTTTTAAACTGCATTTATTTATGTGCACTTCAGTTCATGCTCGTGCCAGAGCACATATGTGGAGGTCAGAGGACAACTTTTGGGAGTTGGTCCTCTCCTTCCACCATGTGGGCCCCAGGGATTGGACTTGGATAGTCATTCTTAACAGCAGAAGCCTTCACCTGCTGAGCTATCTAGCTGGTCCCTGTATTTGAAATTATATTTTACTTAACAGGAAAAATTTGTCTTTTTTTCTAGAGGGGCCATTTCAGTCGACTATCTCATGGCCTACAAGGAGTTTCTGCAGTGCCCCTAAGAACTTACGCAGATCAGCCAAGTAAGTACTTAGTAGAACAGTTTTTAATCAAATTACCTGATAGTTTCTTTGTTTTTATGTAAAAGCAAGTGAATATTGTAACTGCTAATGGTCTTAGAATTTGTTTATATTCACTTAAGTGTTGAGTGAACACCTAGTGTGTTGTAGGATGTCTACAAGGCAACCCCCCCCCCCGAAGCTTAGAAGCTGGTAATAAATGCACAAATAATGTAAATATTTGGAGAAGAAAGTAACTAGGAGGGAGACTATTTAAGATAGAGTGTCAGGAAAGCTTTTGCAGGAGGTGGTGTTTAAGCAGGGGCCCTGAATGGAGTGAGGGAGTGAAAAGGTTATTTCAACTGTGAGAAAGGTCTCAGATGGAAATTAGCTTGTAGCTTTTAGGAATAGTAAGACTAAAGTGAGTATTTAGAGTCCTACAGAACTTAAAATCAGAGACCAAGGCAGATATCAGATACAGAATGCTTTAAGGCTAGGCCAGATGGTTTAGATTTTAGTCCAGGTGCGTTGGTGATCCATGGGGGAGGGGGTGTTTAAGTTGAACAATTTCATATAATTATAGCTTTAGGAATTAATTTTTTTTTTTTTAAGATTTACTATTTATATGTGTGCGTGTGTCCCTGTGTGAGTTTATGTATACCGTATCTGTGCAGGTGCCCATGGAGGCCAGAGGATCTCCTAGAACTGGAGTTACAGGTGATTGTTTCAGTTGCCTGATGTAGGTGCTGGTAACCAAACCTTAGTATTCTCTCTTCTGTGTGTGTGTGTGTGTGTGTGTGTGTGTGTGTGTGTGTGTGTCTTCCCTGCATGTAAGTACATTGTTGTGTAGTGCTCAAGGAGGCCAGAAGAGGGCATTGAATCCTCTGATCCTGGAGTTACTAGCTGTCCTTGACAGTTGTTAGCTGCTATATGTTGCTGGGAACAGGACCCAGGTCTTTTGCAAGTGTGACCAGGTCTTCTGCCAGTGCTCTTAACCCCTGAGCCATCTCTCTAGCCCCTGAACCTGGGTATTCTGAAAGAGCAGTAAGTGCTCTTAACTACTGAGCCATCTCTTCAGCCCCAAAAGTATTGTTTAAAGACTATCATTGTATATTTACAAGGAAGCTACAGAGTATGCTATTTTCTTCTTATTCTTTGTTGTAGTTAAATTTTCTATAAAGGGTATGTGTTTTAGTTTTTAAACATTTGGAATGGGATAGATGGGCTTTTGAAAGTGAGGTATTCGACTTTCTAGTAGTACAAAAGATATTTAAAATGATCTATTTACTGGACTTACCCATACAGTTGCTTCTCTTTTGAGAATAATATTTTACTTTTTATTTTGTATGTGTGTGTCTGATGTATTTATGTGTGTATGTACAAGTTTGATTATGTGAGTGCCTGTGCACATGCCACTCTGCAGGTGTGGAGGTCAGGGACAACCTTGGATGTTAGTCCTTACCTTCTACCTTGTTTGAGACAGGATCTTGTTTGCCGCTGCGTACCCCAGCCTAGGTGACTGAGTGTCTGGGGTCTCTCTTTTCTCTGCCTCCCATCTCACCTTAGCACCAGGATTACAGCAGTACACTATATCCAGCTTTATATAGGTTTTGGGGATTTGAACTCGGGTCCTTAAACTTTTGTGCAAGCATTTTACCCACTGAACCATCTCCTCAGCCCCAAATTGCATATCTCACAACTTTATTGTAGAAAATATTATCTGAGGGAAGCTGTTACCATCATTATCCCTGTGAAATGCTCTGCTATATCCTTAACTGTTGTCAAACTTATTTTAAATGTTTTGTTCCTAGTGGAAAGGATAGGGGAGGATTCTCGTCACTAGTTTCCAACAGTAATTTATTTTCACTTTGAACAAGTCCTCATTTAAGAGTCTGGGAGATGGCTCAGTGGGTAAGTGCCTGCTATGAAGGCATGAGGACTTGAGTTCTATCCTCAGAACCTACATAAAAAGCCAAGCATTGTGGTACTGTGCCTGTAACCACTGCATGGGGATGGGAAGAGATAGGTGGATCACTGAAGCTCGTTGGCTAGCCAGCATGGCCAAATCAGTGAGCTTCAGGTTTGGTGAGAGACAACACTCAAAAATTAAAGGTGGAAGCAGTTGAGGAGATACAACAGCCTCTAACCTCTGCACACGTGCACTTGCATTCATATCTGCATGCACATGTGCACACACACTACAAGCACATCTACCACACACACAGCATGCACACTACATCACATGTACACATAAATAAAAATTTCAAGTCTATTAAAAGACAGCAAAAAAAACTCCTGAAACTTTGATGGTGAGGGGGAAAATGTTGGCCCTATACTCATTATCTCTGTTAAATGGGAATGTTATTTATTCTCAACTCATATAATGGGAAAATGCTTGGCTTTTCATTTCCAAATCACATCTTCCATTTAACTCTACACCTTCAGAATCATTCAACAAAGACTTAACTCAGTGCCTTTGTTTTCTCGGTAGCCTTTGAGTAGGAGCTTAGATTTTCATGATATGAGGCTGTGTGGTTTAGTGATCTTTTGAAACATTGGCATATTGTAAATCTATAGTAGCCTTGCATATAAAAATAACTGTAGTCACTGTCTCAAAAAGTTTTCAGGGCAAAGATTGATTTTTGTTTAGTCCCCAAAGTGGCATAGTAGGTCCTCACTGCATACTTAACTGGGTAAAAGAACTCAGAGATCATGTCTGCTTTAGTTACTATATCACAGCATATCCTGTATGGTCACTACAAAGTAATGCCAGCTAACATGACAGTAATATAATCTGGCATATTCAGGACTTAATTTTGTCCTAGGCACAGTCTTAAATCCTCATGGTCATCCTACTTTGGCCTTGCTTCTCTGTTAGCTTCCCTGTTGTAGAAATGGAAGAGCTCTTAGACAACTGGGAGAATCCTTTTGACTTTTGAGCCTATACTCATTATTGTTCTGCTTTATTAAAAGAGTATTGGTTGACCACTTGAGGAAATGAAAGTTGCAAAACACTCCCTGTTAGACCATCTGGGAGGTGTTTGAATATTCTTACATAGCAAATTCATCAAAATGTGTGAAGTTCTGTCACTGTTGATAGGACCGTCTACTTTATGACAGGAACAGATTTGTTGCATTCACATCATATATTCATTTGTTCATTGCTTTATTTGTATATCCATTATTTCAGTATTTAATAACTGTTTTGTGCTGGTTATTTGATTAGCTGCTGGGACCTAAACAGATAATACCCAGCTTCTATAGATTTCAGAGTGTAATTGGGAAAGACAAATACTTATAATCTTGATAAGAGGTCTTGTGGCTAAGCATAGGGATTTATGAATTCTGTGTGTGGATGGGAATGGTGACAGAATTGTTGAGGATTTATGTTGACATGTGTAATGGTTGCCAGGATCTGGAATCATGTAAGAGCCAAACCTCTGGTCACATCTGGTGATTATCTTGGTTGGCTCTGGGCAAGCCTGTGGGAGTTTATCTTGACCTTATTAATTGATATAGGAAACCCATCTTAATTGTGGAGGGGCAGGGGATCCTGAATTATATAAAATGGAGAAAGCAAGCTGAGCACCAGCATGCATTCATCACAGTCTGCTTTTGGGGTTCGGGTGTGACATGACCAGCTGCTTCAAGCTCCTGTTGCCTTAATTTGCCACCGTGATGGATTTACTGTACCTTGTACTGTGAGCCCAAATAAACCCTTAAGTTGCTTTTGCCAGTGTATTTTGTCACAGTAACAGGAAAAGAAACTCAGTGTCTGAAGAAGGTTAGGATGGGAGTGAGTAAAAGTGTTCCAGATAAAAGAAACAATGTGTGGGAACATTTTAATGTGGAAAGAAGCGTAGTGTATTTGAACCAGGCCAGAACACTAAAACATTGAAGATGGAGCGTTGCCTTCTCAGTTATCAAAGTTCTTTATACTAAGAGCAGTTCGAAGTCATTAAGGAGTTTTTAAGCAGAGCCATCATATAATTAGATTTGTTTCAAAGATCGTCTGGTTACAGATTGGACTGTATTGTAATTATTTTTCTCTAATTAGATTATAAGAACTAGGGTAATTATTTAGATATAGCCCAAGAGCTTAGTGTTTGTAATGTAAAATGCATGCTGTCAGTATGTAGTTTTAGATAGTGGGACAAAGTGTGCATAAGTAGACTAGCATAAGTCTGTGTGCAGGTTGGCACTTTATTACTGAAGCTAAGCTGCACAAAGGGTATGCAGAATGTGGTGTGTGATGAGATTGGAGAAATAGTCACTGAAAAGATATGGATGCTGTGGGAGTTTTTTGAGTAGGAAACGGAAATTAATGAAGAGAGAGAAAATAATATCTGACCTAGGCTTTGCAGAGCTAGCACAGGGGTAGCAGTGTAGCAGAATAGGCTGTTGTGGAGGGCCAGAATGAGACTGGAGGCTCATTGTCTGAAGGTCAAGTTGTGGCTCAGACTGAATATGGGAAGTTGATCTGAGAAAGGAAGTAAGTCCCTAGTATATACTTAGCACTTCTTAGATTCTTGACATATACTTTCTTTGGTTCTTAACCTAGGACCATAGACATCCTCTTCATTATTATCCATATGTTACATCAAAGCCCAGAGGAATGAAATTTTTTGCCCAAGAACTTAAGGTTGAACAATTATTATCTGAACCTGAGTTTGTTTTACTTCTAGCCCTTATTCTTTTTCTTAATGACTAGACATTTGTAGGGCTTTGATGAGAAAGTGCACTATTTCAATTTAGGATTTTGGAGAATGAGCACTTTGGGCTGAGCATGTGAATATAGCATTTGACTTTGGGAGAAGCTTACTGAACTAGACTGGAGACTGAGGCCATTGAGAATTTAAAAACAGCTTCTTTCAGCCCTCAGCATTCTGTATTATGGCTATCAAGTAATTTTTTGTGATTATTTTGCAGTTGAGGGATTAAAGATGAGGCAGGTCAGATAACTCACCTGAGGTCACCTTGCTAGTGGTTATACTCTGAGATTTTCATTTTTGAGGGCTGATACTGAGGAATGAGGTAGTATTAAATAATAGGAAGAATGCTAGAAATCAGAGTCCAGAAGCTTAGTTTGTCTCTGCTGCTCACTTGCTAAGTAATTTGGGCTGGTCAGTTGACTTCTGAACCTTGTTTCTTCTTAGGAAGTACCATATTTATGCCATTTCTTCCCTCATAGTACAGAAAGATGATCACTTGGCTAAGCTCGTACAGTCACCAGTGACAGTTGGATATAAGGTTAATGTTCTAGGACTCAGTTGTGTTTACATATGCCATAGTGAATAGAAAAGAAAATAAAAAATTTAAATTTGTACCCTTTTTTAGTAGAGTCAAAGAACATCAGATATCTAGGAACAAAATAATATTGTATGGAAAATGCTAATCATTTGCTCTACTTTGGAGAGTGTTTTGTTTTTGAAGGAACTGATTTTTATAAATGTTAATTACTATTTTATGTCAATCTGCTCTTGTTATAGTTGATGCTGATGTAACAGTGATAGGTTCTGGCCCTGGAGGATATGTTGCTGCCGTTAAAGCTGCCCAGTTAGGCTTTAAGGTAAGCTTTGTTTTATGTGGGACAAGTTTATCTTTCTCATTAAATGCTTTGCAGGTGAAATCATGGGAAATAGTTTTTGTTTTTTAATTTTTTTGAGACAGGGTCTGCCTATAGTCCCAGCTGGCTTGGAACTCACAGAGATCCACCTGCCTCCCAAGTGCTGGGATTAAAGGCTTGTACCAACAGGCCTTACTCTTCCTAGATTTTTTTTTTTTTTTTTGGTTTGGTTGGTTATCTTTGCGGGGGTGGGGGGGTTAGGAAATAGTTTAACTCTATAAATTATAAGACTGAGACTAATGGACTGAAGGCTTTATTGACTAGCAATTTCATGAGATGGAAATTCGACAGTTTTTCTTCTGAAATAGTTTATTTTTTAAATTTTATTTTTATTTTATGTTATGCATGTATTGCCTGCATGTAGGTAAGAGCATCCATGTCGTGCAGTGCCTGCGGAAGACAGAAGAGGCTGTTGGATCCCCTGGAACTAGAGTTATGGACAGTTGTTAGCTGCCATGTGGGTGCTGGGATTTGAACCTGGGTCTTTTGCAAGAACAGCTAGTGTTCTTAACTGCTGAGCCATCTCTTCAGGCCCCTGAAATTTTTTATTTTAACTTGTAAATACATTTGGGATATAGTGATAGCAATAAAGCCTAAGTATGGTAATGTTAAGTAAAAATCTTTTAGAATAAGTCACTGTGGGATTGGACTGATTTATTATTATTCAGATGATAATTTTTGTTCTGTTTTGTTTTTGTTTTTGAGACAGGGTCTCCCTGTAGCCCCAGCCAGCTTGGAACTTACTATATAGATCAAGCTGGCCTTGATTTCAGAGATCTGCTTACCTCTGCCTCCTGAGCGCTGGGATTAAAGGAAGGTGTGCACCACCATGCCTGGCAGATGATATTTTTTAAAAAGATATATTTATTTTATTTATGTGTATGAGTGTTTTGCCTACATGAGTTTATGTGCACCACCTGTGTGCAGGAGCTGGAGAAGACCAGAAGCAGGCATTAGCTCCCCTGGGACTGGAGTTCAGGTGGTGTTAACCACCATATGAATGCTGGGAATGGAACCTCTGCAAGAGCAGCACATGCTCTTAGTTGCTGAGCCATCTTTCTAGCCCCGAGGTGACAAATTTTAAAAGACTCTTAATCTGAAAAACACAGCTTGGTAGCTTGCTTTGCAGAAAAATTAATACAGATATATTTGGAATTTTACTGAAATGAAATATTATAAATTATATATGATTAAATATGTTTTCCATTTTGCTTATAGACAGTTTGCATTGAGAAGAATGAAACTCTGGGTGGAACATGCTTGAATGTTGGCTGCATTCCTTCCAAGGTGAGTATGTGTTTCAGCATTGCAGAGATTGGTTTTCATTACCTACTTCACTGCCAATCTAATACAGTTATTAAATAATCCAAGTATGATTAAAAGACTATTTTTCCTTTATGAAACAGCTTGCTGTCACCAGCCTACCATACATTCTTGAAATTGCTTCCTTTGCCATTCAGACTGCAATGTTTCACTTTTTTTCTCTTTACCTTTGCATTGCCAATGAAACATTGCCAATGAAGTAAATTATTTTATGTCCTTATGCATGAAAACAGGAAGTCCCCTTTGACTTGCCACCATGAAATAATGTGTTCTTATTCTTTTAAAGAAAATGTTTGCTTTTTGTTGTTCTTTGAGTGGTTTTTTGTGTTACTGTTGTCTGTTGTAGATTAATTTTATGTGAGAAGAAAAAGTGAGCTGGATAAGTGTTATGTACTGTTCTAAATAGAGAATGTCATTTCATAAGTGCTTTTTAGTTACGGAGTATGTTTATGAATATCTGATAAACTTATCTTCTTTCATTTAGGCTTTATTGAATAACTCTCATTATTACCATTTGGCCCATGGAAAAGATTTTGCGTCTAGGGGAATTGAAAGTAAGTATACCTTACTTTATTACTTCTATTTAATATTTAATTACTTATATTGTAATTAAACATAAGTATTTATATTTAATAATATTACCAGACATGTTTGACTTTTCTTGCTAAATACTGACATGTGTCTAATATGTGTGAATAAATGGCTAGTGGAGGATGAATGATAAAAATCTTGAAAATGTGAAGAGATTTTTTACTTAGGAGTGCTTAGATTCAGATTTCTACTGTGATAGCTTCTGTTACCTTGAAAACTTTTGCCTAAGTTCTAGTTTTGCTGTAAGTGAAGAGTCAGTTTTTATTTTATTTATTTTTAATTTTTTTGGTCTTTTTGAGAGAGGGTCTCCCTTTAGCTCCAGCTGTCCTGGAATTCACTATATAGACCAGGCTGGCCTTGAACTCACAGATATCCCCCTGCCTCTGCCTCCCAAGTGCTGGGATTAAAGGCATGCGCCACCACGCTTGGCTAAGAGTCAGTTTTTATTTCCCTCACAACTAGTGATCATGGGGGAGGCTGGATTCCCAAGTGCTATGCTATTAGGAGAGAGGAATAAAGGAAAGAGAAGACCTATGACCACTAGTCCCGGGGTGGGGGTGGAGTGGGGAGGACCCTTTATAACATTGCCTTTAGTCTGTAGTGTCTTCATCATGTTTTGGGGGCACCTTTTCATCTTTTTTCTCCAGTTGTTTTTGACAAATACTTTCAGAAGGATATTCTTAAATGACTTTGTGGTATTAGTTTTGTAGTAGGTTTCTGAAAGAAGCAGCTGTGTGTAAGCAATCCATTGAGCATACAGATGTGTATATACTAAAATATGTCAAATTCCATGAAGAGTACTGAGATGTTAGAAGACATGGGTAGTCAGGAGACACGCATTATAGGCAAACCTTACATTTTAGTGTGGTGACCTTGGTGAATCAGAAATGCCTATGAGTTTGTCCATGTGTTGGTTGCGGGGACTGATTTCTGTATCTTTTTCTGTAGTTCTGTTGAGTTGAACATTTTTATGTTACATTGTTGCTTTAGAGTTCTGAGCTATATGAGTTTTTAAATCTTGTTGATTAAAGTCATATTAAGCTTTTGTATTTTGAGATGGTCAAATGTATATTTGTTTTGTTTCATAATATTTAAGATTTCAAGTGATGTTTTACTTTTCCAGATTAATAACTATTATAAAGTATTTGTAAATTGTGTCACAGTGGAATGTAATATTTTATGTTGGATTGCATTTTGATGAAGTTGAACATTTAAGAGTGTGTAATAGATTGTTATTGTGATGTGATCATTTGGCTTTTTGTTAACATTAGGATGAATATTTTCAGACCTTAGTGAAAAATTTATTGCTTTAAGAGTTTAAGAAGGATTTAAGATTTATTTAATAAATTACAGTATCAGAAGTTCGCTTGAATTTAGAGAAGATGATGGAGCAGAAGAGGTCTGCAGTAAAAGCATTAACAGGTGGAATTGCCCACTTATTCAAACAAAATAAGGTGGGTGTTCAGTGCTCAGATTTGTGCTTTATTTTATATACATTAGGTATTGCATTGTGCTAATAGAGTGATGCTCTATGACCTTTGTCTGCTGGGGTGATATTCATTTAACTTAAAGTATTACTAAAGCATTTAATAACTAGTGCAACCCATTTATCCCCATCCAAACCCACAAAGAACAGCAACAACAAAAAACCCTGAAACCTAAAATAATACTGATCTGAAATAGATTTCCCCAATACAAAATTTTTTACTGCTACATTTTGCATATTAGTAAGGAAGCATTTAATGTTCTGTATTATTGAGAGTATATTTTCCTGTTTCAGAAAATTTTCTATCAGAAAAAATATTTTAAACATTGTGAATTTATAAATACTATTTTATAAAGGTTGTTCACGTGAATGGATTTGGGAAGATAACTGGCAAAAATCAGGTGACGGCTACAAAAGCAGATGGCAGCACTCAGGTTATTGGTACCAAAAACATTCTTATAGCTACGGGTTCAGAAGTAACTCCTTTTCCTGGAATCACGGTATTTATGCCTTCTAATTAATATCAACTGTCTTTACAAAATAGGTTTTCTAAGTTTATGTTGTTTATAAATGTTGAGTGATTACTGACTGAAATGCTATATTTTGACAGTCATTTAGCCTTACGTAATTACTTGTCTTAGCCAGGTATGGTGGTGCACACCTTTAATCCCAGCATTTAGGAGGCAGAGGCCAATAGATCTTTGTGAGTTTGAGGCCAGCCTGGTCTATGTAGTGAGTTCCAGGCCAGCTGGGGCTACAGGGAAACGCTGTCTCCAAAAAAAGACCAAAAAAAAAAAAATTATTTTACAGTGATTTTGACTAGATACAGAATGATTTATATTATATTTGAGTTCAAAATGAAGTTAAGCCAGGCATGGTGGTGCATGTATGTAATCCTAGCAGATGGGAGATAGCGACAAGAGGATTCTCACAAGTTCAAGACTAGACTGGTCTAGCAGCTAGGACTACCTAGTGAAACTGTCTCAAAAACAAGCTGGGGTTCTGGAGAGATGACTCAGTGGTTAAGAAGAATGTATGCTGTTCTCACAGAGAACTTGAGTTCAATTCCCAGCACCCACGTAGCTGCTCAAAACCACCTGTAACTCCAGCTTCAGAGGATCTGACAACTTCTGGCTTCATTGAGCACCTGCACGCACCTGCGCTCACATGCGTGCGCGCGCGCACACACACACACACACACACACACACAGAAAAATATTTTTTTAAAAGCTAGGGAGCTCACTCAGTTGATAAAGCGTTTGCAGTGCACCTGGTTAGGTGGCACAGGCTTGTAATCCTAGCACTGGAGAAGTATAGACAGAAAGATCCCTGGGATTTGGACAGCCAGAGTAGCCCAACTATAGTGCCTCAGTAAAAGACCCTATCTCAAAAAACAAGGTGGATATAAACTTATTAACCCCTGGCCTCCACAAACGTGCACATAACAACAAAACACAAATAAAATAATGAAGTTAAAATTGACTGTTTTATTTTGGAATGTCAAATGAGCAAATTTCAAGTTAGCATTTTACTTTGTCTTTTTTTTTTAAAATATCAAGTTAGCATTTTAAATGAGATTTGGTGAATTGGGGTGTACAGAATATACAGAAGTCATAGATACATCAAAGTAAATGTCTTACTATTTTTAGTGGTTTTTTTTTTTTTTTTTTTTTTAAATGTGTATGCGTGTATTGCCTGCATGTAGGTAAGTGCACCCGTGACATGCAATGCCTGCGGAGGTCAAAAGAGGCTGTTGGATCCCCTCGGACTGGAGTTATAGACAGTTGTTAGCTGCCATATGGGTGCTAGGATTCGAACCCAGGTCTTCTACAAGAACAACCATTGTTCTTAACTGCTGCGCCATCTTTCCAGCCCCCCTTTTTTAATATTTATTATTTTTTTGGTTTTTTTTTTTAATGGAATGAGATCATAGATTACAGTTTACTAGGTTTTCCAAATCTTACTATATTTTTTTGCTTTTCTTATAGATTGATGAAGATACAGTAGTGTCATCTACAGGAGCTTTATCTTTAAAAAAAGTTCCAGAAAAGTTGGTTGTTATTGGTGCAGGAGTAATTGGTGTAGAATTGGTAAGTGGTATTTTTTCTGTCTTTTATTACCTCTGTTTGGGGGCTGAAAAGATGACTCAGTGGTTAAGAGCACATACTACTCTTCCTGAAGACTTGAGTTCTGTTCTCAGCACTTGTATCCAGTGGTTCACAACTTCCTATAACTCTGTGACTCAAGCTCCAGGGGTTCCAATACCACTGACCTCCACAGGCATCTGCATTCCTGTGCACATACCGACACATACATATACAAATAATTGAAAGTAAAGTAAATCTTTTAAAAAAAAATCTTTTCTTATTTGATTCTTCTATATTACATTTTAGGCCAATGAGCATTGAGTTTTGCTTAAATACTCCAGTAATAGCAAATACAACTTTTCTTCCAGTACCACCTGCTTAGGTGATCAGTAGCCATCAGTGTGCTCTCCTTTGTTGTATAGTCTGCTGCTTTGTTTTCTCACCCTTCCTGATCATTACAGCTGGTCTCTTTTAATCTGATAGCTCTTGACATACTGAAAAATGGTTCTCATTCTGAGCAAACTACATTCCAGATAAAAAACATCCCTTGCTACAGCGTACATGCTGTGACTTTTCTTTCCCTCCTAACTTGTGTTTTAGAGATACCAAACTACTTGCCATTCTCTGAGTACCATAGTATTTCATTTCTTCCACCTGCCTTGTTCACCTTTCTGGTCTATTTGCCAACTTCCACATATGTCTGTCTAATGAACTTTAAAAAAATTTTTTTTTAATTTTAAAATATTTTTTATTTTTATGTGTATGATTGTATTGCTTGCATGTATATAAGTGCACCTGTGCCATGCAATGCCTGCGAAGATCAGAAGGGACCATTGAATTCCCCTGAAACTAGAGTTAGGGATGGTTATTAACTGCCATATGGGTGCTGGGAATCGAGCACTGGGTCCAGTGCTTTTAACTGCCACACCGTCTCTAGCTCCTATCTAATGAACTTTTATTTTAGGTGTCCTCTCCTAGGGCCATCACATCTTATCACCAAGAATTACTCTGATATCATAAATTCAGAGAATTCTGAGCCACACTTTTTTTCTTTTTATTTACTCCAAGTGCATACACTCTACTTTTTCTTGATTTACCTAGTTTAGAACTTCCTTACCTTTTTTGTTATCTATGTTTCCTGTCTTGACTGTGATTCCATAGTGTCTTTCTCTCTCTCATTTTTGGTTTTTTTTTTTTTTTGAGACAGGGTCTTCCTGTAGCCCCAGCTGGCCTAGAACTCACTATGTAGACCAGACTGGCCTTGAATTTGCAGAGATTCACCTGCCTCTGCTGGGATTAAAAGTGTGCGCCACCATACCTGGCCTTTAGCTGCTCTCTTAGAGGTAAGTCAGTCACTCACCTCCTTTTTTATGTACAGGGGATGCAGCATAGGGAGCAGTATTAGTTACATGTCTTATTGCTAATGTGTGCCTCAAGCATGCTAGGCAGGTACTGTACCACTAACCTATATTCCCAAACCTCTTTTAACTTTTTATTTTAGGCAAGGTTTATCAATAAGTTGCCAAGGTTGGTCTTAAACTCAGTTTGTAGCCTATGCAGGCTTGAACTTAGGAACTCCCTACCTTTGCCTCCTGAGTAGCTAGCACTATAGGGCTGCTGTGCCACCAGGCTTATATGACCTCCCTTTTCTGACATATTTGCCTGGAAAAACCCTAGTCTAGTTGAATTTAGCTGTCTTTCTATGCCATCCCCAGGGTAGTGTCTGCATCTGGAGGGAATAAGACACTGAAGACTGCTGCCTGTATAAGTGCTTGGTCACAGACTGCATCAGGAACCTCAGGCTGGCTGAGGAATATTTCCCTAGCTGATACATTCTTCTGGTCTCTGCTGCGGCTGTTTAATTTCCCACTCCTCTTGTACCCCTCGTAGGGTGCACTGTCTTCTCCTGCCTGTGCATTTCCTCATGTCCTAATGGGATGGAAACCCCAGCATCTTGTGCTCTAGATTTGAAAATGCTTTCCCCCTACAGTTCTTTTGCTCTTCTTCCTGCTGCTATGAAAATGCTGTTTTCCCTAAGATTAATCTTCACCTCTCCTTCATAACACATTTTTCTGCCTTTATAATGACTTGGTTTGTGATTTTTGTTTTCTGTGTTTTTTAGCATTTAAACTCATTCTTACTGTCTACTCTGCTCCCCTTCCCCCTTTGAGAGGGGCATCTCATGTAGCCTGGCTGGCCTAGATCTTGTTATGTAGATCAGACTGACCTTGAATTTGGAGCAATCCTCCTGCCTCTCTCTGCTCCTTAGTGCTAGGATTATAGATTATGCTGCCACCCTTGGTTACTCTTCTTTTGGATTATAGTTGAACATGTCTTTGAGTTTATACTTGTGTGCACATACTTGCTCAGATACACTTCACTTGTGATGTAAATAAGCCTTGTGATGATCTTTTGCCCTTTGGTTACTAAGTTTCCTCTCACTTTTTTTCCATCAAACTTTTCTAAAAAAGTGTTCATACTCTTTATTTCATCAGCTCCCACTTAATCTTCAGGTCTCAGCTTTTTGTGTCAAGAAATTGTTCCCGATTAGAACATAAATCTGATTACTACTCAATCCACTGGACTTTTGTTTGCTGCTGTGTTTGGCAGTAGTCAGCTTTATGTTTTCTTACCTTTGAAAATCTCAGCTTTTCTGATTTCATACTATTCAGGTTTTATGTCTACCCTCTGGGTTGACTTTTTATCTATGTAACTTCCTGGCTGGTTGTGGTAGCAAATATCTTTAATTCCAGCACTCAAAAGGCAGAGGCCAGCCTTTTCTAGATACTGAGTTTCAGCCAGCCAGGGCTACATGGTGAGACTCTGTTTCAAAAACAAAACAAAATCTTTGCCGGGCGTGGTGGCGCACGCCTTTAATCCCAGCACTTGGGAGGCAGAGGCAGGGGGGGCTTTTTGAGTTCGGGGGCCGCCCCGGCTACACAGTGAGATCCCGGACAGCTGGGGCCACAACAAGAACCCCGTCCCAAAAAAAAAAAAAAAAAAAAAAAAATCTTTGTAAATGCCTTATTTCAGGTTTCCTTTCAGTCTGTCGTTAGGTTTTCTCCTAGACTCTTGGTCTGTCCACAAAATGTCTTCACTATCACCTTGTTAACTAAGGACCCACAATATCTGCAGCCTAATTGTCTCTCTGCCCCTAGACTTATATTTTGGAATATATTAGCATTTCCACTTAAGTTTCTCATAGGCACTCTACTCAGTAAATGTATAATGGGACCTTTATACTTCTGTTTGTTCTTCTCACTCCAAACAAAGCCAAGCCTATTTCTCTTCTAACATTTCCACCTCAGTGTGTCTGCTACTACCCTTGCATAAGCAGGAACTGTAGAAGCTATACTTGATTTCTCTCCTGACTTCCTGATCCATATTCATTCCCTGGGTTCCGATGTGAGTCTGCCTAATATTTATCTCTGGAATATATTTACTACTTTTCCTTCATCTCCTTAGATTGCAGTTCAGTCCAGCATTATGTCTTACCCTAGGCTGTCTTGGCTTTCTTTTCAAATCTGTGCTCTTCACAGTTCCTGTAAAACATGTTTAATCATGTCTCTTCCTAGGCTGAGATCTTTGACTATTAGGATAAATCCAACCTTAGTGTTGTTTAAAGATTAGCATTTTGTGGCCCTGGCTTATATCTCTAGCCGTGTCTAGCTCCTTTCCCTTGCAGGCTCTGCTCTGGGTGTATCAGTTCTGAGCAAGCATTTTGCCTATAGTACACATTCCCTCTATGTGGGATATTTCTTTTTTCCAGTCTTTGCACTGTTGTGAGCCCTTCTGTGATGAGCCTAGAGGTTCTAGGTCTTCCTGTTGAGTGTTCTGTTTCACCTGGAATTTCTGTTTCTTACAGGATTTATCTTATTTTCTTGATACTGCTTGATCCTTACGATTTCATTAAATCATAAACTCCAGGAGGAAAGATTATGGCTGTTTTTTTCACTGTATATCTTTAGCTACTAAAAGTAGTCATATTTAGCTTTTTAAAAATTGCTGCTCAATAAGCATATTTATCATATCTTTGACTATTAGGATAAATCCAACTTTAGTATTGTTTGGAGATTAGCATTTTGTGGTACCTTTCAAAAATTAGATTAGTAGTTGCCTGTTTATTTGTGAGATGCAGTCTTGCCGTCTAGTACAGATTGGCCTGGAAGGTGTGATTCCTGTTTCTACCTTCTGAAGACTGGGAGGATTGGGCTTTGGTGTTATATCTTTGCCTAACTAACTTGAGGTCACAAAAGGTGCCTCATGTGTTTTAATTGAGAAATTTTATAATCTTGGGTCTTATATCCATGATTTGAGTAAATTTTTGTGTGTATTTGTGGATTTTTACTGGCCCTGTATTGCCTCCTGTTAATTTCATTCTCATTGTAAGAATTCATGAAATTTGTAAAATGAATGTGTAAATCTAATTTAATTAGAAAGATAAACTCATGTCATTTTAAATTACGAGATAACTTTAATATTATATAATGACTATCTCTTTAAAAGGATGTGTATCTAGTCTTTCCTTTCTTCCCTTTCTTTCACAGTGCTAGGGATTGGACTTAAAGCCTTGTGCATTCCAGGCAAGCACTCTACTTTGGAGCTGTATCCTCAACCCTAACGTTTTTGTAGATTTATTTGTTTTAATTTTATGTGTACAGGTGTTTGCCAGTGTATATGTAAGTGTACCACATTGCCCTCGGAGGCTAGAAGAGGGTGTTAGATCCTCCTGGAACTGGAGTTAGGATAGGTTTTTTTTCTTTTTTTTTAAGCCACCGTGTGGGTGCTGGGAACCGAACCTGGATCCTCTGCAAGAGGAGCCAGTGCTATTAATTACTGAGCCAACTCTCCAGTCCTCACATCCCAACTCTTCAATTTTTTCTTTTTTTCAGTGTATATGCATGTGTTGCCTGCATATAGATCAGTGCACCCATGTTATGCAGTGCCCACGGAGGTCAGAAGAGGCTGTCAGATCCCCTGGGACTGGAGTTACGGACAGTTGTTAGTTGCCATGTGGGTGCTGGGATTTGAACCCAGGTCTTCTGAGAGAACAACCAGTGTTCTTAACCTCTCCAGCCCCTCAAATTTTTTTATATTCATCTTGCTTGTCATAGTTTTATATTTAACCTTGAAAAGTCATGCTAGTTGTTTAAAATGTTAAAATACAATATTCAATTTAAGTCACTTGAATAAAAAAGTGAACATTTCTCCTTTCTTGAGAAAATAAAATATGAAGCCAGTTTAATATTTTGTAAACTTTAGTGATTATTAGTGGTAAACATACTTGTTTTATTTTATTGTTTGAGGATTCCATACGTGCATATGTGTTTTGATGCATCTCACACCCCATTCCCTCCCCTCCACTACTTTTCCCTCCCAACTTCATGTGCTCTCTTTTTAAAAACTCATTGAGTCTGCTTAGTGCTACCTGTATGTGTGTGGGTGTAGGACCATGTGCTGGAACATGGATAGCCTTTCAGGGGCCACATCCCTGAAGGAAACTACCTCCCCTAATAGCCATCATTTGCCAGTAGCTTCTCGGCTAGGGGTTCTTCCCTGATCCATGCTGGAATTTTAGTTGGCTTGATCTTGTGCATGCAGCCACAGCCTTTGTGAGTTCATATGTGTAATGGCCCAGTCATGTCTAGCAAGTACTGTTTTGCTGCAGACATCCACTACTTCAGCTTTTACATTCTTCTCTCCCTCTTCTGTGAGAATCCCTAAGCCTTGTGGGGAAAGGCTGTGTTACAGATACCCTATTTACAGTTGAGGAGGCTATAGTTTATTCTCTGCACACTGACCAGTTGTGGGTCTCTGCATTAATCACCATCGACTATAAAACAAGCTTCTCTGATGAGGACTGAGAGATGCACTGATAAAGGCTCAGGACTGGTTTCCATCCTGAGTATTAAGCTTTGACTGAAGTGCTGTGAGATAAGAACATAGTTTTATGACCTCAGGGTCTTTGCACTTGCTCTTTCTCCTCTGCCTTGAACACTCTTCTCCCAATTATTGCTATAGTTCTTTCCTTCACTTGAAGCCTATATAAATGTTATTCACACTGAGGCCTTCTGCAATCATGCTATTTAAAGTTGCAGTCTTTTTTCTTCAGTAGCTTTGGCTCTACTTCCTCCTTTTTCACATAGCACTTTGTTATCCTCTAATATGAATTTTATTTGTTTGTTGATTTCCTCTATCACACTGTAAAATCTCCAGGAGCAAGGATTTTTGTTGTTCGTTAACCTATACCTAGCAGTTATAATGGTACTTAACATGTATTAGGTACCTAGTAAATGCTGAATGAGTGAATAAATAGATAAAATTATCTGTTTTCATCAGAGCGTCCAGAAAACATTACTAAAAAGAAGAAAATACTACAAGTTATTTGAGATAATTTAGTGAACATTTGCTATGGAAACTTTATGATTTTTTTAAAAAAATTAATTTCAGGGTTCAGTGTGGCAAAGACTTGGTGCAGATGTGACAGCAGTTGAATTTTTGGGTCATGTAGGTGGAATTGGAATTGACATGGAGATATCAAAAAATTTTCAACGCATACTTCAAAAGCAAGGGTTTAAATTTAAACTGAATACCAAAGTTACTGGTGCCACCAAGAAGTCAGATGGGAAAATTGATGTATCGTAAGTATGCTGCATGTGTTTTTGAGATCTCACCCTTACCTGTTTTAAAAAAAGCATTTAAGCTTTCAAAGTCAGTTAATAAATGTATTTTAGAGTTTTATAACTTAGTCTGATTGCTCAGTATTACATAGCATTCTTATCATGATTGAGTTGGTAATAGAAAGATTAATCAGTTGCATTGTGCTGTATTTATTCATGGTTTACAGTCATAAAATTTAAAGTGCCTAGTATTTAGTAAAATTATTTTGGCATTTTTAGGCAGATGGGAATTCAGTGATAATATCACTTAAATTGTTTGCATGTGTCTGGTACACTACTCATAAATATTTATATAATTTAACAAAATAACTTGCCTATAGTCAGTCACACAGTTCATGAAAGGCAGAGCCAGTGCTTGAACATGGATCTTTCTGAGATTTTCATGGTGCTGGGAACCAAACATATGACATAATGCATGTTAGGCAAGTGCTCTACCATTAAGCCACATCCTTAGCCATGAGTCTTATATTCTCTTTTTTTTTTTTTGTCTTTTTGAGACAGGGTCTCCCCTATAGCCCCAGGACTCGCTATATAGACCAGGCTGGCCCAGAACTCACAGAGGTCCTCCTGCTCCTGCCTCCCAAGTGCTGGGGTTAAAGGTGTGCACAACCCTGCCCAGCTGAGTCCTGTATTCTTAACTGCTGTGCCACACTGCCTGATTTTGAGATTTTAATAAACTTTTAAGAATTTGTATGATCGGCTGCTTGTCTCACATTTATAATGACATAACCGTATTAGATATGTCATGAACATTTGAGGAACCTGTGATCTTAAAGTTTGATTCTTTTCAGCTGTCTGTGTAGAGTTATGTGTTGAACAGTTATCTTTTGTTCATTGTCTAGTACTGAAGCTGCTTCTGGTGGCAAAGCTGAAGTTATCACTTGTGATGTTCTTTTGGTTTGCATTGGTCGACGACCCTTTACTCAGAATTTGGGACTAGAAGAGCTTGGAATTGAGCTAGATCCCAGAGGTAGAATTCCAGTCAATACCAGATTCCAAACTAAAATTCCAAAGTAAGTTGGATAATTTCCTATGTGATCTTTGTCATTTTAAAATTTTGTGCTAGTGATAGTATTTTTGGCTCTATATAAAGATACATAGTATGGACACAAGGTGAGGCAGGTATATAGTAAAGGAATACATAGAAATTTCCTCCCAAATCATTTATCAAACTTGTAAAATGGAGACTTTTGAATCCTTTATAGCTATTATTATTTTTTAAAAATATTTTATGTATATGAGTATATTGCCTAGATGTGTGTAAGTGCACCCGTGTCGTGCAGTCCCCACGGAAGTCAGAAGAGGGTGTCAGATCCCCTGGAACTGGAGTTAAGGATGGTTGTTAGTTGCCATGTGGGTGCTGGGAATCAAACCCAGGTCCTCTGCAGGAGCATCCGGTGCTCTTAACCACTGAGCCATCTCTCCAGCTCCAGCTATTAGTATTTTTAACTGAAAAGTTTTTATTTATATTTCAACTGTTTATGTACCTTATTTAAAGATGGAATTTTGCTATATAGGCCAAGCTAGTCTTGAACTGGACTCAAGTGGTCCTTCTGCCTCAGCCTCCCAAGTGCTGGGCATTATCTCTAATTTTAAATTTATTTCAAACACTGTTTTGAAAATATGATTTTCACCATGCTGTGGGAAGATAATATTCTTATAAAATCAAATATAAATAAATGGATTTTTTAATTGTTCAAAGATTAGATACTGAGATCAGATTTTTGAAGAGCTGCATTTAAAATACTTTTTGGTGGCTTATTGGCTAGATGAAATTTATATTTCCATGGTATAACTGAAGTACCTTTGATTTCAGAAATCACTGTTTTGCTTTTATCTCTGGTAGTATCTATGCTATTGGGGATGTGATTGCTGGTCCAATGCTGGCTCACAAAGCAGAAGATGAAGGTATCATCTGTGTTGAAGGAATGGCTGGCGGTGCTGTGCACATTGACTATAATTGTGTGCCGTCGGTGATTTACACACACCCTGAGGTTGCTTGGGTTGGCAAATCAGAAGAACAGTTGAAAGAAGAGGTAATCCTAAGTGTGGGCAGTTTTACTCCACTGTGAATTGAACTAATGGCACTAGTAACTAGAAAAAAACATTTTTACATTTAGTGACTCTGTAAAACATTATAGCTTATGTATTTTTTCTTTTGTTAGGATCATAAGGAGATGCTCCTTAGATTTCTCAGCAGCATAGGGAAGATACTGTGTTCAAAAACCAGCAACTGTAGGACTTTTTATATTTGGCTTTGAAATATAGGCAGGTGGTTAGACATTTCTATTTACTTGCATTTCTACCCTAATTCTATTTCATTAACCTGCCATTTAGTCATTCCTTCTGTGTGCTGTAGTTATTTTCTTAACCAACGGGAGATGCTTTCACTAATGGGAATGGATGTTTTTGTGCTTATGTATGTATGATCTCATTATTCATCCCTCACAGGGTATTGAGTACAAAGTTGGGAAATTCCCATTTGCAGCAAACAGCAGAGCTAAAACAAATGCTGACACAGATGGCATGGTGAAGATTCTTGGACAGAAATCAACAGATAGAGTACTGGGAGCACACATTCTAGGACCAGTAAGTATTGTAAAACCAGGTGTAATTTAGTACAGTATTCATTACCGTTCTGTTGCCGTAAGACACCATGACCAAGGCAACTTATAGAAGAGTTTATTTGAACTTACAGTTGTGGGATAAGAGTCCATAATGGTGGGGAGGCATGGCAGCAAAGTCCATAAAGGTGGCTGGAGCAGGAAGCAGAGGAATCACATTTCAAGCGGCACAGGAAGCAGAGAGAGACTGGAAAAGCTAAGGAACTCTTAAAGTCCACCCCAAATGACTTGCTTCCTCTTGCATGGCCATACTTCCTAAAGCCCCCCAAAATAGCACCAACTGGGGACAAACTGTTCAATACTTGGAGCCTATGGGGGACATTCTCATTCAAACCACCATACCTACTGTTTCCATTCTGATGTTGCTAATTACCAGTGATAGTTTAAATAAGGCTTCTGTGCATTGTTCTGGAAGGATACTAACATCATTTTCAGTCTTTCCTACCATATCATCCTAAAATGTACACACATGCTAGAAAACATACACAGGGCCAAGTCCCTCCTTAAAACCCATTAGTGATATTTGGCAACCATGGACTGTTAGGTCCCAAGCCTTACTGACTCTGGAGTTGCCTTGCTCTACCCCCCCTCCCCCCAACCTCTTTCCTTTCTGACCTCATCTTTCTGCTCTTCCTCTTTGCACACGCCTTTAATCCCAGCACTCAGGAGGCAGAGGCAGGTGGATCTCTGTGAGTTCAAGGCCAGCCTGGTCTACATAGTGAGTTCCAGCCCAGCTGGAGCTACAGGGAGACCCTGTCTCAAAAAGACCAAAAACATTTTTTTTTCTTTCCATGTAAGATAAACCATTTTCCTAGGAGGCCAGACTTGGTTTGTACTTTAGGGCTTCAATCTCATAGTAACACCCCCATCCCCCATATAGAACTCTACTTCCAGGCCTTTGCATGGTCTTAGCTCAGATGTTCCTTCTGAGGGAAGGCTTAGACTTTAGTAAGGCTGAAGTATATTTTTCTCATAGGTATGTGATGTAACAGTAAAGTTAACAATATTCAAATGCTTTCTGTGTCACTTTTAAGTATATACGTGTTGTCCATATTTCATTTTTACAGTTTTATGAGAAAGATGATTTTTTTTTTTTTTTTTTAAGCAAAGAAACTGCACGAAACACATAAAAGTAGGAAAGTGGCAGGATCTAGGCAGTTTGACTTCCAAGTCCAAGCTGTGTGCTACTTTTTCTGTTAAACTTCCTGACTGGGAGATTTTTTTAATTGCCTTAACTCCTTTAATAACAGGATTTAAGACAAATTTTTAAGGTCTAAAAGCCTGGGTTCTGGCTCATAGCGTGTAGTCCTGGAAGCATAATGAACTATTTGGCTTCTTTTAAAGGGTGCTGGAGAAATGGTAAATGAAGCTGCTCTGGCTTTGGAATATGGAGCGTCCTGTGAAGACATAGCTAGAGTCTGCCATGCACATCCGGTAACTATCACCAGCATACATAGACTTCATGGCTACCTAAGTTTTCTTTTTACCCACAATGTTTCATCTTTAATTTTACATTTTCTTCCTTTGCAGACTTTATCAGAAGCTTTTAGAGAAGCAAACCTGGCTGCATCGTTTGGCAAAGCAATCAACTTTTAAATTAGAAGAAGGTTATTTTTTTTTTTCTGAAATCTGGAATCTTTTATAGAGGTCACATTTTTGAACAGCATAAACTCACAGTTCCAGGAATTTTTAGGATGGAATTATGAAACTTTTGGGAGGTATTTAATAGGTTTGAACAGAATGGAATAATCTTGTATCTATATTTTAAGTAAATATCTTCTTTCAGTGCATTAACAGAGCAGACAAGACTGTATAGTAGTATCCTGGGAAGTTTTCAGCCTGCATTTTCATGCTATTTATAGAAGATTGGACTTCATTGAATTAACGTTATTTCTGATTCAGTGAGGTGGAATCTACTTCATAAGGAAGGAGCTTGAGTATAGTACTGAACAATTGTATTTGAATAAAACTGATGAAGTTACTTTTAAATTTGGTTTTCATATTGGAAACAAGTCAGTGATTAGAACAAGATTCAAATATGTACAAACATGTAAATAAAAGCGACTGTCTCTCATTTTATTTAACTCCCAAATTCTTAGTTTAGAGGTAGAAGTATATATTTAAGGGTTAAGGTTTTAGAAGGTCTACAAGTCTAAAGGGCATTGCCCAAATGAAGATACTGTCCACAAAACAAAAATATTAAATAGAAACTCAAATGTATTATACCAAGGAATGAAGGTATCAAAATAAACATGTCTTAAATACTTCCTGGTTATTCTGAGTTCATAATAAGATGGTCCTAATTCTTTTGACTACCTCTATCTTTTAATTAATTACTACCACTGTTATAGAACTGAATGTGTCTTCATATTATACATTAAGACATTTGAAATATACATTAGACATTTGAAAGGTCATCCCCCTTTCATTTGTTTTACATATACCTACTAAATACATAGCTTGTACTTTAGTTTGCTATCTTTTCCTATGTAAATTTCCTCGGCTAAGTAAATGACCATTTCTTTACCACTACAAAACTTGCATTTATTGATAAATGTTAAATGCTATTAGATTATTAGATGTTAAAATGGTTATTTAAGTATCTCAAGAAAGGCAATGATCTAAGTGCTAAATAGCTTTTGTATATTATACCTAAATGCGTCATTTCAGGTTAAATAGTTCCTAAATTTGATAGAGACAGCATAGTTTTCTAAACAAAAAAAGCCCAATTAAAAATGTACTTGGAATTTTGCAAATAAGATATTTGCTTGACTGTAATTTAAAGGTTCTAATTTTAAGGGAAATTGGAAAATGTAGTCTGTGGGATAATATTGATTGGAAGAAGTTTATTAGTTTTCAGGCTTTAATTGCATATTGTATTTTGTATGTCCAGTGTCTTAGGGACTGTGTTATAGTCATGCTCATATATTGTGAAGATTGGATTCTCTCACAAACATCTAAAAATACTGATTATATATTTTTCTTTTTTGATCAGATAAATTGACTGAACTCTGAATTCTTTGATAGCAGGTAGCAGCTGAATTTGCTTCTTTTTGTTTTATCTTGTGCCTGAAGTCTCCCAAGATTAAGCAGTTGCTGAGATTTTTCTCTATATTCTAGCTGTTCTATTTACCTCACACTCTCCTGATTTTTAAAAAAATTTATTTTTATTTTATGTGTATGAGTGTTATCCCTGAATGTGTGTAAGTACACTCGTGTCCTGCAATGCCCACAGAAGTCAGAAGAGGGCATCGGATTCCCTGGAATTGGAGTTACAGGTGGTTGTTAGCTGCCATATGGGTGCTGGGAATCAAACCTGGGTCTTCTGCAAGAACCGCTGAGCCATCTCTCCAGCCCCTCTCTTCATTTCTTAACTAATGAATTGGCTTTTATGAAAACTTGTTAAAAATGAGACAGTCTGTCCTCCCTGTTCCCTTCTTAGGAGAGTTTGCTTTACCCTCTGTGTGCTTGCTCTTCAGTGTCTTCACATTTTTTACTGGACTATGTTTTGTTCACATTTTGCAGTTGTTAGCAGTAGGAGGGTTAGTATGATATGTGCCACCTTAAATTTCCGATTGATTTATTATTTTATGTCTATGAGTGTTTTGCCTGTATTTATATTATACTTGTGTGTGCAAACCCAGAGGTCAGAAGTGGGCATCAGTCTCTTGGACCTGGAGTTCAGGACAGTTGTTAGCCACCATTTGGGTGCTGGGAACTGAACCATAATACTTTGCAAGAGCAGCCAGTGCTCTTAACCGCTGAATCATCTCACCAGCTTAGTGTGGTGTGTGCTGTGTTGTTATTTGTGAAAGTGAATTCTCTATCTTTTTAAAATCTGGAGTTTCAGTGTTATGTTGAGTGATGGTTTAAGTCTGAAACATGCCCCCTACTCTCTGGGAGGCTTCTAATTTGGGAATAGTGGAACATAATAGGAGTACCTAGCTTTAGAGACACACAAAACGATAGTTGCCTAATAAGCATTCTCATTCACTATGAGAATGCAAATACAGCTGAGTAGAGAACAAAGTCCTAGGACTAAGGCAAGTTTTAAATTTTTATGTGTATATGCATGTATTGCTGCATGTAAGTAAGTGCACCTGTGTCATGGTTTTAAATTACTCCTTGCAGCTATCTGCCAAGCTCTCAGCATTTGGGGTGGGGGTAAGAAAGGAGCGCTTACGATAACCATTCAGTTCACTGAGTTAATTAAAATTAGTATTTGGAAAGTAAGTTCTTAGTTTTGGCTGAAAAGACATGGAGTGTAGAGAGTGTTTACTATTTTTAAAGAAAGAAATAGATGTACCAGAGATGGTATAGTATGGCTGTTTTGTTAGTAGGACTCTTACCTAAATAAAGGGACCAGATAATTGCCTTAGACCAGAGGGAAGTTGCCTTTTCAAAATTACAGCTGTTTACACAACTTTATCCAGGCTGAGCTTCATTTGCAGTTGGATTGCATATGTGGGTACTTAAGAGGTCCACAGAATAGTCTTGGTCTAAGAAGAATGTGTGAAGAAAAACAGGCTGGGCTATTACTCAGATAGTTCTAGCTATGTAGTTGTCACAGGTCTAGCAATTGCATTCTAATGATTTTCTTTATGCTCTGGACTAATTGTTTAAATGATTGTTTTGTCTTCACCTACAGATTGGACAGATAATCTTTGGTTGTGAAGTTACATTAAGTATAATATAAAAGCTGAGGAATTAAGAGTATAAATTATATATTTGAATAGCATTGTTCCATTAGCAGAATAGTTTGCATGTACTGTCCTAAGTAACGGAAACCTGCTTTCCAGTAACCCTGGCAGTCTACTAGATGATAAAACTTAGAAGACAAAGTTCTTCTTGATGCTTAAAATGGTTGGAGCAAAGTCTCTTTATAGGACTTTTAAAGACTGGAGCAAGAAAGCAACCAGTGAAACGATTGAGGCTGCATCCTTCCTACTTAGAGTCAGCCTGAGAGCCCCACTGGGGGGATTTAGGGAATAATGTTTTGGAAGATGTTGACCTAGCAAACAGATTAGTATTAGCTTATTTACAGAGCTAACAGAATTAGTCTTCTTGAAGGCAGTAAACTTTTTTACAAATACATCTTTATAGTAAAAATAACATTGGTAGGATTCATGAACATCAAATCAGTAAAAAATATAAAGAAATTTGCAGCTGTAAATATATTTATACAAAACCAATGTATTTTATTTAACTCCATACAAAACTCAGTGGTTAAAAACATTAAATAGGTGTGAGTTTTATTTTGAAGATCATTCAGGCAGTTTTTAAATGTACTTTGTACCTCTGCTTTGGTTACTTCAGCCATCTTCTAGCCCTTTCTCCTTTGTTACAAGCAGGTGCTGTAAATAGCAACTTTTTGGCTTATATCCTTAAGGAGTGTGCGGACCTCTCCTTCCAGTCTTACTAACTCTTGAGCTTTATCTTCTAAATATTTTTGATTGTCCTCATATTTCCTTTCTAAATCTGTGGAAGATGGAGAGAGAGTTAACTCTGAATAGTTTATAGTAAGATGACCTGAAAGCATAATGCTTGCCCATAAGGCTGCTTCTAACCCAAGACATAGTGAATATGCCCACTTTTTAAAGAAAAACTGTCCGTGCCATAACTACTTTACAAAACCATGAGCCAGATGAAGGACGCACCTTGTAGCAGCTGCAGCTTGCTGTTTGCTTGAGCCAACAGTGTTTTTGCTTCATTTTGTAGCATTTCAGCTTTTCTCCTGGCATCAGCTGACTCTTCAGTTTTTTTTGCAATTAAACTTTCTACTTTTTTATACTTTTCATCAAGTTCACCATCTAGAGCCTGCAGTTCCACAGTAAGGTAGAAAGAGGTGAAAATGTTAATGTCAGTAATTATACCTAAGAGCCTTAGTGTAGTCAGGCAAGCTTGGATCATGAAGACATTAACTGAAGGACAAGCATTCTGGATTAAGGGACCCCAGGAAACCCAGGCTTCATACTCAACTGAGTTTTAAAAACATTTCAAAGAAAATTCTGAATTGTTGTAAGTCGGTGAGCTCAACTCTAGAAAAGAATTACACTGTGGCAAGCTACACAAATAGACTAGACAGTAAAGCAAGCCCATTGAGGAAATGGGGAACAGCTGGATCTTGAATAATTTTAGATTTGTGAAGACTCGATGTCAGGAAATCAGAGGGAAAAGGCAGATTTAATAAAAACAGAATTGTGAGTTTAAAATGATAGGTGCAAATCTTTTAGAAACTGTTCAAAGAATAGTTATAGAAATTCATTCCTAGATCTTTTGATTAAAAAAAAAATTGTTGTGTCATTTTATTAAATGTCCTATAATACTATTTGGGAGATTTATGCCCTCAAACTGCAGGTAAATACAATGGGAAAATGTTGTCTAACACTGGGCAGGAAATTTTAATGTTTTGTTTTCTTCTCAATTCAGGTGAAATTTATGTAATGCTGAAAAGCTACAATAACTATAAAATTCAATAAAAAGGACTTAGAAGTTAGGGCATTTTACAATTTTAGGGACTCTGCCCCTCAAATTTAAAAAAGGTATCGTTGGAGGTAAATTTAGAAATCAAGTATGTATGTAAAACATTCTTTATTAAAATCTAGCAGCTTTTGAGATTTATCCTGTTAAATATAGAACCTTCCAACAAGAAGCAAGAGGTAGTTCATCCAAAACAAGTCTGAAAGGGGTATGGTTTGATTTCCTACTAGCTGTTCTGTAACGAAAGCAAGCTTTTCACATTCTTTTCTGCCTTCAAAGTATTGTCAATTGGTTGGGTAATTGGTGTGTGACACAAAAATCTTTCTCACTGAAACAGTATAGTGAGTATGCATGTTTTAAGGCTACCACTTCAGGTTAAATTAATTCCATTTTTCTAAATTCTTACCCAAGTTGAGGTTTTAGGGCCTAAGCTATATTTGGACACTTTCTTAATCCTCCCATTCTAAAGACTGCTGCTTTAAATTGGTCATTGGGGTGTTTATTTCTGATGAATAACCCTTAGGTCTTAGTTTCTTAATTTTAGGGAAGGCGAGGTGGAAACTGGTTGCCCATTTATCAACTTAGCTATGGAGTTATAAAGATCTGCTTACCTTCTTGACATCATCAGCACTTTGTTTTACAGTGTATACTACTTTTTCAATGTATTCTGCCTCCCCAGAATTCTGGGCAGCCTTCCGCTTAAGTTCTTCCACATTTCTCTCAAGCATGCTGATGCGCTGAGAGGCATTAGTCAGGGTTTCCTCAGAAGCTGCTGTTTCAGATTCGATCTAAAAGTATAATGTTAATCGTCCAACACAGTGTTAGGAAAGACATGGTCAGAGTCCAAATTCAGTGAAGATAGGCTGCCGTGTTGTTTTGTGATAAGTGGTCAGAAGAATAGTCTTATGGCCAGTGATGATAGCAGTATTAACATTTATCAAGTATTACTATGGAAAAGATTCTGGTCTATGTATGGTGTCTTACATCTTGTTTCATTAAATAACATCTGTATTGTTATGAATTGTTCTAATAAAAAAATTGAAAAGAATAACAAAGCTTAGATAAAGTGCCAAGCATGAGTTATTGCAGTATCACATTGCTGCATGTAGCAAAGCCTTTTGGAACTAAAGTCCCAGGCACCAGACATGGAACTACAGGATTTAGTGTTTTAGGTTTTGTTTTGGTCTGGTATTTCTTTACTATGCCCCTACTCCTCCGTTTTGAAATAGAAATGTGTATTATTGCCATTCATTGTGTGTTGGAAGTATGTATTTGCGTTTTGATTTTGCAGGGGGTTCCAGTTAACAGAGTGCCTTAAGTCTCAGGAGAGACTGAACTTTTGAACAGTCTTGAGATTGTTAAAGACTATGGGGACTTTGAAAGTTTGATTAAATGCATTTTGCAGTATGAGATAGTCATGAGCCTATAGGGGCCAGGGAGTGGAATGTGGTGATTTGAATGAGACGTATTCCCCCTAGGCTCAAGTATTTGAACACTTGGTCAATTGGTGGTGCTGTTTGGGGAGGGACATGGAACCTTTAGGTGGTGTGGCCTAACTGGAGGAAACACATCACTCTGAGAATTCATAGCCTTGCCCCACTTCCAGCTTGCTGTCTGTTTCCTGTGAATCCTTGAAGATGTGAGCTCTCAGCTTTCTGCTCTAGCTCTCTCCTGCCCTGCCTCCACCTCCATGAGGAACTATTATCATCTTCAACCATAAGCCCCAAACAAATTTTCCTATAAGTTGCCTTGGTCATGGTGTTTTTTTTTTTTTTTTTAATTATTATTATTTTTATGTATATGAGTGTATTGCCTGCATGTAGGTAAGTGCACCCGTGTTGTGCAATGCCCACAGAGGACAGAAGAGGCCGTCAGCTCCCCTGGAACTGGAGTTACGGACAGTTGTTAGCTGCCATGTAGGTGCTGGGATTCAAACCCAGGTCTTTGAAAGAACTACCAGTGTTCTTAACCGCTGAGCCATCTCTCCAGCCCGGTCATGGTATTTTATCACAGCAACAGAAAAGTAATACATAAGGATTCTTTCACATTATTCTTTTGGTATTTCTGATTAAGATTAATGTAGAATTTTTTCTTGACATTAACAACTGCCTTCTGGCAGCTTCCTGTGTTGAGAAAGCATTTTAAATGTGCCTTCAAACTTTAGCTAAAGAACATTAAAAAATAAGCAGCTGTGAGAATAATTTCTACCAAAATCTCCAGATTAAGATGGGTGGGAAAATAACTTCCATTCATCTTCTTAGACATTCTTGTCAAATCAGTGTTAAACTCTGGTAGTAGGGATGTCAGCTAATAATTCCAGATACAGAAACTAGGAACATAGAACTCAGAAGTTTCTATAGGATTGTGAGATGCCCATGGCCATGCTATACTGAGTTACCAAGGAAAAAAAATACAGACTCTTACCAGTTGTCTTTTATATGTATGAGTGTATTGCCTGCATGTATGCATGTGTACCCATGTCACACAATGCCCATAGAGGCAGAAGGGTGTTGTGCAGTGCCCGTGGAGGCAGAAGAGGCATCGGATCCCTTGGAACTAGAGTTATGGGCAGTTGTTGGCCATCATGTGGGTGCTGGGAATTGAACCTGGGTCCTGTGCAAGAATAGCCAGTGCCTCTAACTGCTAAGTCATCTCTCTGGCCCAGTCTATGACAGTCAATAAACTTTTTTTTTTTTTTTTTAAGTAAGCAATTTGACCATTTAGTTTTCCTTAAAAGTGATCTTCAAGGACAGGTATGTTCCATAGGCTGTCAATAAACATTGCTTTTTTTTTTTTTTTAAATGTAGAAGACCTGGGTTTGAATCCCAGCACCCACATGGCAGCTAACCACTGTCCCAGCCTCTCCTGACCTCCCTGGGCATTGCACAACATGGGTGCACTTACTTACATGCAGACAATACACGCATACACATAAAAAACTAAATGCATACACATAAAATAAGCCAGGCGTGGTGGCGCACGCCTTTAATCCCAGCACTCAGGAGGCAGAGGCAGGCCAATCTCTGTGAGTTGAAGGCCAGCCTGGTCTACATTGTTCCAGGAAAGCTGGGGCTACAGGGACACCCTGTCTCAAAAAGATCAAAAAAATAATAAATAAAAATTTAAAAAAAAAAAACCCAAACTAGCCAAAGTAAGTAGTCTGACCATTTAGTTTTCCTTGAAGGACAGGTATGTTCCATAGAGCTAACTCTGAATTAATAGCACTGTCATAACAAAGCTGATGTTTGATAAAGACACATGCTAAAATTTGCAAATATTTCAAATCCAATGATTTTCAGCCTCCCCACCCCCACCCCCACCCCCCTGTCTTCTTGAGACAGGGTTTCCCTGTAGACCAGGCTGGCCATGAACTCCTAAGAGATCTACCTGCCTCTAGCTCCTGAGTGCTGGGATTAAAGGCGTGCACCACCATGCCCAGCTTGATTTTCAACTTTTTAAGTGCACCATTAACTTAGGAAAAAAATGAGTAATTAAAATTTTTAGGCAATAATGATTAGTTTCTGACAGATTTTGTCTAGTATGTTTAGAGAGGAGAAAAGGGTGCTTAATGTTCAGTGTCTTCAGAGTCTTTTTATTTCTCCCCCCTTCAGAACATTCCCTACTCAATTTTAGCATCTGTGCTAAGAAATAGTTCAGATTTAACTAGAATATTTTTAATGTTGCCTTGTAAGAATTCTTGTTCAGGGGGCTGGAGAGATGGATCAGCAGTTAACAACACTGGCTGTTCTTGCAGAAGACCCAGGTTCGAATCCCAACAGCCACATGGCAGCTAACAACTAACTGTAACTCCAGTTGCAGGGGATCCGACAGCCTGTTCTGTTCTCTGCAGGCACTGCATGACATGGGTGTACTTATCTACATGCAGGCAACACATGCATATACATAAAATTAAAATATTAAAAAATTCTTGTTCAAAGGTAACGATCACATGCACCTGCTTTTCTGATAGAAGACTGGGTGTTTCCTCCCACACACAACCCAGTTGTGACCGCTTACCGAAGTTAGCAAGTTTTGGGTTCCTTGGATATCATCATCGGCTTGTTTAATTGCCTTCTCTGCTGCAATCTGGACCTTTTCTGCTTCTTCCAGTGCTTCCTTCACCATGTCGGCAGTGACTTTAACATCTGTTGCACTTTTGCTGAGCAAAAGAACAAATTTACTGCTTTTAAAATACAGAAACACACAAATCCTGCATTATTCCACCCTAGCTATACCAGATAAGCCCCCATGGCCAGTGTTTTCAGGTACCTGGCCCTTTTAGCTTCTTCCAGCAGCATCTCAGCTCTGGCAACATCAGCAGCACTCTGCTGCAGGATAACCTCTACTTGAGAAAGGCTTTCGACTCGTTCACGGATGTCTTCTGTCAAGTTCTGTAGCTGCTGTGGGGTGCTAGGCATTTCCATTTTGAGTACTTCATTAGCAACCGCTTCAACGCTGTCTAGATCAGCACTATCCTCTGAAAGGCAAAGAGGTGAGAAATCGGCTGGTTCATGCCGTCAACCACATCCCTCACCTACCACGTGAATAACCCAAGAGATAGTTCCTATGTAAGTCTAGCTTACTGACTGGGTGTGGAGACAAGCCCCCATGTGAAAAAGTGAGTGGCGAGCAAAGGCTTCACAGAGGGTCAGGAACTAAGCAGTTTTTGAAGGAAAATAGGATTTAGAAGGACAATTCTGGTTGAGGAGAATGTTATGCAAGTGTGTCTGAGTGAGAGGTTCAGATTATGAAAAACTCTGGAGGTCACCATTTAAAGCTGGACTGGAAAGCAGTGAAAACTTTTAAAAATGCAGATGAAAAGTGCTGATATTATAAATTAACCTAAATTTAGGAAATTCTAGAAGGTGATTGAGTCTAGTCAGAGAAACAAGAACTAGGACAATATTTTCAACCAAGCCCTGAAGTGTCAAATGTTCTTTAAAAACATGACAAGGTGAAGCTCTATGCCAAATCCTCATCTTTAAGGGGGATTTTCCTGCTTCCATTTCCAGATGTTGGGATTACTGTACCATGCTCAGCTAGAAATGGAAACTTGCAGTAACAATTGTCTAAGGGGAAGTAAAACAAAGAACCTAAGTACCGGTCAGGAAGTTTCTGATCTGCTTGATGAGATTCCTCAGGTCCTCGTTGCTCCTGTCCACCTTTTCTTTGGTTGCATTTGTTTTCAACAGGACATCCTGAGCATTCTGTTTGGCTTCATCTGCTCTCAGCTTTGCTTCAGAGACCTAAATATAAAGAGCAAATGCTCTGTGAAACAATCTTGCTCTTTCTAGAGCAGACCAGAATGTTTAGAAACAGTCTAAAAAGTAATGCTGACAAGCTAATTATTGGACTCATGTCTCAAGCACATTTCTCCTGTTTAATAAAGTACTTTTATGTAGACCCAAAAGCATTCAATATACAAATTCCTACTCAGTATTCTTAGGGCTAGCATTTGAGATTTTTTTCAGGTTGTTTTTAATGCTCCTAAAGCACTTGGTGGTCTAAGAAGAATATGGGTCACTTTAGAAAATGCCCAATTTTTAAATCCTGGCACCAAGGAGGCAGAGGCAAGTGGATTTCTGAGTTCCAGGCCAGCTGGGGCTACAGGGAAAGGGGGGGTGGGGGGGGAACCCTTTCTAAAAAAAAAAAAAAAAAAAAAAAAAAAAAAAAAAAAAAAAAAAAAAAAAAAAGTGGTAACATGCTATCTCAAATTATTGTTAATCTAAGATTTGAGCTGTTTTCCTAAAGCACATTATTCCCATGAAGAGAATATACTTTTAGTCTGACTAGAATAGAAGCCTCACCATCCCATTCTGTGACCACACAGAAACTGGAGCTTTCATATTGGACATTGAAATCTTTTAGTTTTAGCATGTTAAAGTCTCCCTGCAGCTGAAAGCCAACAAAGGTGTCAGAAACAGGCCACCCACTGATTTACCATCTTGGAGAGCTGTTCCACTTCAGCCAGGGCATTCAGGACATCTCGGTCAAAATCCATGGCTTTTTGCCAGGCACTGTGGGCCACAGTGACCAGACCACCACAACCAGGCCCCCCACACTTCTTCTGTCCTTCGTCAGTTCTGCAGTTGGGGCCACCACACTCAGTTTCAGAACAATCAGCTCCTGGAGGAGTTCCACAGGTCTGCAACAAGCCATGGGTCAGCATAAGGGTTCAGAGAGAGTCTGCAGAACAGCCGGGAGGATCTGGGTGGCCCCAGAGAACACAGGTGGTCCTCAGCAAGGGTGCTTAAAAATTGTTCAGAAGACAGTATGGAGAGGTACAAGCACTCAGGAAGTCAACCTACTTGTTTCCACTGAACTCTTTATCTACTCTACGCCTCTGCCCAGATGCACAAGTATAGATAGCGTATGAACCTTTCTAGGATACAGGCATGATCTGTTTTAACAGCTTTGTTCTGCCAGTCTGAGAGCCAAAAGATGGTTCCTTTTCTAAGAGTTAGATTGGGATGGGATAGAGGACAGGTACTATGAAACTTCTTTGGGTCTAGCACCATGTTAAGTGCTGTGGTGACTATGGTAACAAAATCTTAGTAACTAACATCTAGTTAGAATCATTGAACATAAAGTCAAGAACACATGTGCTGTAGTAAGAAAAGTTGGCAAAGGAGGCTGCTGAGGGGTTCATTAATTGTAAACAAGGGTGGGTGGTAGGGTTTGAGCTAGGAAGTAGCAGAACATGTCAGGTGGGAAAGGAAGAGTGTATGTATAAACAAAGGTAGATGAACTTTACCACATTTTCTCTACAACCCTGGTCCACCCTTCTAGCACTCAATTCTCCTTCTTTTACCAGCAACCTCTCAAAGATCACCACATGGTTATGGCATATAGACACGAACAGAAATCAAAAACATGCTACGTGATAGGAAGGATTGCCCAGGAAGAATATTACATTTAGAGTTGTGCTTCTATGGAAATTGTTCATACTGCAATGAAAACCAGTTACCAGAAGACTCCCAAAGCAGAGTTTTTTTTAAAAATACAGTGTTTTTTAGAAGAGATACAGTCAACTCTGGTTTGATAATGACTATAATCTCTTATCTAAAATAACAGTCTTTTACATATATGGCTTACAGTACATATTTAGGATAAATAAAATTTTATGCACTATGGAAGAAAAAGACCTACTTCAGAAGAGAACCTACAACTGTAGGGGTGTTTTCAAAAAGCAATTCGACTGCATACTAGACCTGCTTTATTTCAACACATAGGTAGGGATGAGAAAACTAGCCTGACTTGAAAAAGATAAAGGATGCAAAGTATTTGAAAAAAAATGTGTGTGTGTGTGTGTGTGTGTGTGTGTCTTCACAAGCAAATGGTGTAGAGCCCATAGAGATGATCCTGTAGAGCCCATAGGATAATAGAGACAAAACAAAAAGTTCCTAGGCAGCTTACCAGGTGGGAAAACCTGCACAAAGAGTGTGCTTATTTGTAGACAAGAGCCACTCCCACTCACCCACCACCCACTCTCAAGCTGCCTTCTGTTAAAAGCAAAATTCCTTTAGCAAGCTTAGCTGTGTTTCACTGCAATTTGTAGAAATTTTCCAATGACTGATTTTTTAAATTAGAATTTGTAAAGAAGGCATCAATCCTGAAAGGAGATTGGGAGAGCTGGCACTTCATGTATAACTATAAAACTGTCCACTGTTAGTACAATTTATACATTGCTCTGACTGTATAATTTTCTCTTTTTTTTTTGATGATGAGATCTATGTGTGCTGTAAAGCTTCACGAGGCAATGAATAGCAAACCTTGCAGGCATCTGCAAAATTGATCACAATTCAGGATAGAAGGCATGATTTTTTTCAATTCAGATTAAGTGTGTGTGGAAGGGGTGAATAACTATGGCAAAGACAGTAAATAAAGTCAGTTTTCCCTGTCTCCAATATGCTGGTTCTTACTGCAGGGAGAAGCAGGTAAGCTTGCAGGGTTTTTACTTGGTAACAGAAGGCAACTTGGGACTGGATGGCAGGTAGGTGCAGGTGCCTCCGGTCTTATGAATGAGCGTTCTCACTGTGGAGGCTTTTCCACCTTTTTATTTATTTTTATTTTTGTGTGTACAAGTATGTTGCCTGCACATATGTTAGTACACCCATGTCATGCAATGCCAGTGGAAGTCAGAAGAGGGTGTTAGAGCCTCTGGAACTGGAGTTATGGACAGTTAGTTGTTACCTGCCATGTGGGTACTAGTAATTGAACCTGGGTCCTCTGCAAGAGCAGCCAGTACTCTTAAAATCTAAGCCATCTTTCAGTCCCCTTTCCACCCGATTCTTAAAGGTTCCTGTTTCTAGGCTAAGAAAAAGCTAGAGAATAATGTTAGTATGTAAAAACCCTCTCAGTTCTGTCAGGTAGCCTATGAAGACCAGTGAGGAAACTGGAGGAAGAAAGTTTTGGCTTTCTGCCTGATTTTCATTAAACTCACTACTCAATTTCATTTGGCTCCAGAGTTACTTTGTAAAAGCTTCTAAGAAATTGATCTACTTTCTAGGCCAGCTCAGTCTTTAATCTTTAGCAGGTAAAATTACTGAAACAAAAGAACATTTTAGCAAATACTGATGGAAAGTCTTTTGCTCCCTGATTTTTCTTTTTTGAAAGTTTCTCCCTGAACAATTCAGAGTTCTTTCACTGAGCTGGAGTCTGTTAAAAAAAAAAAAAAAAAAAAATTCACTCAGTGGATACAAAAGTATGGAGAAGTGGTCCTGACTCTTTGGGAACAGCTGGAGGCAGGAGTAGGCCAGGAAGTACATGCTTTGACCTTCATCTGACTTATTCATGGCTGATACACACTGTGGCCCAGCGACATGAACATGGGAGTGCCCTGCAGGTTCACTTGCAAACAGCAATATTGAAGACAAAGCAGAAATGGTTTTGTGTTTTGTGTTTGTTTTCCTTCACCTAGAGGAGGACCACAGAAATGAAGCCAAACCCCAAACCTACCATCTCAGCTGCAATGGAAAGGTCTAGACTTTGGACTTTGCCTGCCAGTTCATCCAGAAGGCGAGCCTGCTCCTCTTGCTTTTCTTTGAACTGAGACTCTTGCTCCAGCATCAAGTCTTCTACTCTGTCTCGTGTGATAGCTGACTGCTCCACAGTGCTGTTGGGGTCTGTGGTGGAGGCATTTACCCTCTTTTCTGCCTCAAGAGAGATCTGGAAATACTTGGTAATACTATCCAAGGCACCTAAAGTGAGAAATGAAATTGCCTACAATTAATCTGTACCCCATTCCTCAACCAGCCCATGTCCATATTTGGTATTTTGTGGCCTCAAATGTACCATAAGGCTTAAACATTTAAAGACTTGGAGGTAGAGTTTCTCTCTAATGACCAGTGAATCTATTTTGTCCCACTGACATCTAGTCAAACTATGGAGGATGCCAAACACTAGAGTGAAAAATGAGAAGTCAGTCATACACATGTTGTTTCTGAATACAGACAAACATCTACTTCTAAACATCTGGTGTCAGGCAGCCAGATTACATACCAATGATTTTTTTTCTGTTGCTTATTTACCTACCCAGGTCCATTCAAATGAGTATCATGTACATAAAAACAGCACATGTATTGGCTTTCGGGACCTAGTTAAACAAAATTTATAATACCAGACGGTGTCATCTAACATATTTCTACCTTTGCTTTTGGGGAGTGGGTCTTATACAGACCATGGTATTAAGTGAAAGATTTTCAAATGTTTCTGAGAAAGCAATAATTTCAAATGTAAAAGGGGGTTGGCAGAATTAACAACCTAGTATTTTAGCATTCATAAGAATCTACGGAAAGGCCAGGGAGTTAAACTACTGACTTGAAAAGTTAGGAAATGGACTCTATTTTAACTCTTACAGGGCCTTTGCTCTGTCTCATAGTTGCTCTATGCCTCAAGTCCCATGTTGGTAAAACAAACTTTTATCACCATTTTGTACCAAAGACTCAATTAGCAAAGGTTTGAAAACTTTTAGAAAACTTTTTTTTTTTTTTTCCTGAAAGTATTATATCAAAAGAGGGTAGACAAATGGTATCTATTATCCAGGGTTGAGTTTCTTCACAAAATGTTCCTCACCTTGAATATCTGAGTTTTTGATATATTCCAGTTGTTCAGCAAGTTCCTTCACGGTGTTGTCAAGGCTCTCGGCTTCCGCCTGCAGTGCTTTCAGCTCTCCAGCTGTGCTGTTACTTTGTGCAGCTGTATCAGAGAGTTTCACTTCCACTTGAGCCATCTTTTCTGTAACATCTTTGGTTAATTTCCTATATAAAGAAAAGTAAGCTTACCTAAAATAAATCAAAGAACTCTAAAGTCTCACTTTTATAATTTCCACTACCATAGTGGAAATTATCACTCTGCAACTTCAGATTAGCTCAGTCATTTATAATAATTCCCTAAGTTCTAATTTTATTCTTATAAGAGACTGTTAAAGACCTTGAAGAAAACCACAAATGAACACTCAGCTGTGTGTGTTGGTGGAAGGCTGCAGGGAGGATTCCAGGTCTCTGCTGTAACAGGAGCACAGGTCAGTGCAGGGGTCCAGCTTGGAACGTCAGCAGTTACAAGCCCCTCTAAGCTGGTAGACAAGTTGAGAGCAGAGGAACATCTCTCAGCCACCAGCCAGAAACACTTTCCTCTGAGCCAGGGGCTCTCCTTCAGGATGGAGCAGTGGAGAGGAAGCCTTGCAGTCACCATGAAGACAGCAGGAGCCACCCAAACCTTTTCACATAGTCCCTGCTCCAAGCCAGGGTCCATCAAACCCTCCTCCTTCCATCAACAATTACCCTTCTGTTTTTCATAAAAAGGTGATCACCTCCAGAGAACAAAACATGGCTTTCACAGCATTTCCTTTGGAATCTAAACCCAACTGCTTTCTGTTCTTTTGTGCTGACTGTTACTGTGTATGTACAGTGTGTGATGTCTGAGTGCACACATTTCACAGAGAAAGGAATGTTTGAGAAGACTTATCTCTGGGAATTACTGCTTCACCTGATGGAATGTAATTGTTTTCTTGGGGGAAATGGCAGTTAATATAAAAATCTTGGACAATCTCACAGCCTTCCTGGTATGTCTTGTCTCATCTGTTCTAGATGCTGATGGAGGAGGATTGCTTGAGATCGAGAATTTAGGGCTAGTCAGGCAGCAGCCCTGTCTCTTAAAACAAATAAACAACAAAATCCAGAAGATGGAAGAATGCTAAACACGGGCCAACAGGATGGCTCAGCAATGAAAGTGCTTGCTCTGCAAGCCTGACATCTGAGTTTCATCTCCAGGACCCACATGGTGGAAGGAGAGAACCGACTCCCGCCAGTTGTCCTCTGACCTCCACATATTCTTGCTGGTATATGTGTGCTAAGACTCACATCACCAACATACAATGATAATAAATAAAAATTAAAATAAAAACTACAAACTTGGGGGCCATTCAAAGAATATTACTAAAGCCTAAGAATGCCACGAATGACACGGACAGGAAGAACAAGCACTGAAGAGCGTCATGAAGCTTAGCTTAACTCTATTCAACGACTTTTTCAGTGTTTCACTTTGATTCAGTTTTCATTTCTTCTCATACCTCAAAAAAATACTGTAATTAAAAATAGTATCTAGGCCGGGGCTGGAGAGATGGCTCAGTGCTTAAGAGCACTGGCTGCTCTTGCAGAACACCTGGGTTCAAATTCCAGGACACGTATGGTGGCTAACAACTTTCCATAACTCCAGTTCCAGGGGATCTGATTGATGTTCTGTTCTCTGCAGGCACTGCATTGACACAAGTGTACTTACACACATGCAGGCATAACACTCATACACATAACCTGGGTCCTCTGGAAGAGGAGCCAGTGCTCTTAACTCTTAACTGCTGAGCCATCTCTCCAGCCCGAGAGAGAGAGAGAGAGAGAGAGAGAGAGAGAGAGATTGTTGTTTTGAATCAGGTTCACACTGCATAGCTCAGGCTGGCCTCAAACCTGTGATCCTCCCGCTTCAGCTTCCCCACTATTAGGATCTAAAGGCCTGTGCCACAGCACTCAGCTCACTTTCCTTTTTTGTTGTTCAGTTTTAAGTCTTACTGTGCTGTCTGGGGGACTCCTTTGTGGCAGGACAAAGGTTAGAAAATATGACCCCTGAGAAGTCTGGCGTCTCAACTAATCCGCATTGCTTTAACTGGCAAAAACAAGCAGTACTAAATATCCAGAGAAGGCCCAAGGATGTTTTTTCTTTGCAGAGATTTTATAATTAGATCAATGAAGCCCTTTTTTAGTGGACCAGTAGCTGAATGGCAAAATAATTTGGGAATAAGGAGTTTTATTTGTGGTGATAAAAGTTCCTTAGTAGTAGCAATACTTATAATAACAACAATTTAGATTTGTAATTTTCCTGCAATTATGTTATAATTTTATAGATAGATCCTTGTGTTTCGTTGTAGGGTAGAGGCAAGAGAGTAGAGACTCAGGAATTAAGTGTGCCACCTGCATTCACAAGCCTAGCACATGGTCTTGTGGATGTGCCTCAGATTCAGTTTTGCTGAATGATAGCCTTCTTTGCAAAACAGAGCACTGAGTCACAAATTTTCTCCAGCCTCCAAAACTTGGTCCCTGGTGATGTGTGCATGTTCACTCACCCAAATGCTCACAGTGGACACCCTGATAAACAAGGGGCCCAGATCCTGTTTAATAGAACCAAGCAAACATACAGAAGTACCACACTGGGAAATTTTGATTGCTCAAAAGTTGAAAAAAACATGGTGAGTTACTACTCGGCTCATTAGCTACTTACTCTGCTTCCTCAAAGAGACTCCCAATATTTTTCAGTGGTTCTGCTGCTGGGCTCTGGGCCAGGATGTCTCTTATCTCACTGACTTTCTTTTCCACAGAGTCCACGGTCTCCCGGTAAGGCCCGATCACACCGCTGATCTTCAAGGCCTTGGCCTTCTCCAAGAACTTGTGGGTTCTGTTGGTCAGCTCAGTAATGATCACATCCCAAAGAGCGAAGCACTGGTGACAGGGCGTGCAGTCAGGGAAGACCCCTGAGTACCCTCGGGTGCACTTGTCACAGCGTGGACCCTCAACACCTTCTACACAGACACACTGGCCTGTGGTCTGGTCGCACTGTGGTGTCTCAATGCCCCTGGGGTCACAGTCACAGGCTGGAAAGGAAACAAGCAATGCTAGATGACCTACTAGATCACAAGGCTCAGTGACAAGATTTGGTATTAAGAATTCTTGGCTACTGTTATAGACTGCACCAAATTCCTGCACACAGGACAACCCCTATTGACCCTTTCTTAATAAGAGTAATAATAATTAGAAAACTTATAGTTAACCCTTACTGTGTATGTATCGGGCATTGTAGAAATGTTTTACCTGTATCACGACATTGAACCCTTACAGCATTCCTATGGGATAGGCAAAATAGTTACCATTGTTTCAGAGATGTGGTTTGGTTTCTACATGACCTGCTTCCAAGTCTCACAGCAAGGAAAAGGTCAAGCCAGTTATCTGTCTCAGCACTCTGTTCTTCAGAGCCCAGGGCCTTCATCCTACCTCTGCCTCCCTCTAACTCTGAGCTCCCTTACAGTAGGACAGTATAGGCAATTCTGATCATATCCTGATGTTAGACATTTTCTAGAAGACACATCCCAAAGGAGCAGCACCTGAATAACTGCCCATCCCTGCTCTCAAACTGAAGCAGACTGTGATAAACTTGATCAAAAGAAAACTAAATCTGAACAAATTCAAAATACCTAGTTTAAAGTTTTTCACTACATATAGTCTATCTTATATGTATCTGACACTGTGATAAACACCCTCACAGTATGAACACCAACTTGTAAAAATATCAGGGGTGACCCAAAGAGGCCTTGGGAACCATTCAGTCCCAACCTGTGACTGGTTGAATGTGGTCAGCACCTTACCCAGAGCCAAATGAGAAAAAAGTGAAATCATGCCTGGCAGGGAAAAATCAGCATTCCTAGCCAACAGCTGTGACTGGCATCATGCCCTCACATTACAATGTCTATGCCTTTAGTGTTCTAAATCTCAGGTTACCAAATTATTTTTTATATCGACACTTGAAAGTTCATAACGTTTGGAGAGCTTGAACAACAAATGACCTGTACACCCATCTCTGGCCTCAAGCCTATTCTGGGGAAAGGTGTGAAAGTTAAGTAAATCTGCATTCTTATTTCCCTAAGCAGACTTTGGACTCCAAGGGAAAGTCATTTTTTCACTTGGCACCAAGCATAGAATTAACTTGTATTTGAAAGTTCAATCATCTTTGCCAAATGAGGTCCTAAACTCATTTACAAGCACTCAAGAGGCTTTTACACATTTTGGTAAGAGAACCTGAGTAAAGACACAGTGTTGACTGTGGCAAAGCGTAACACCCGGACTCTCAAACATTTATGAAATTTTGCATCAGTAGCTGCCGTTTGCCCTGGAAAGATTTTCTGATGCAGTATCTTCCAGAATCTGTTAGACTGACAGTCCTGGGGGGACTAACTTCTCTGCTCTTTCAACCCACAAAGATGTTTGTGGCCTGGAAAGACTGCTTGGCCCTTGCCACATCCTGCTTTGTATTGTTCCTTTACCTGTTTATCACATTTGAGCAGGTTTAAGAATCCAGCACTGGGGCTGGAGAGATGGCTCAGCAGTTGAGAGCACTGACTGCTCTTGCAGAGGACCCAGGTTTGATTCCCAGCACCCATATGGCAGCTAAAAACCATCCATGACTCCAGTTCCAAGGGATCCAGCACCTTCTTCTGACTCCAAGGACACTGCATGACATGGGTGCACTTACACACATGCAAGCAATACATTCATACCCATAAAATAAAAATAATATGTTTAAGGAAAAAAAAAATCCAGCACCATGGTTCAGAACATAGCTGAAGACAGAGGCTTAAAGTCCTGTGTTCCCAAAACTCCCACTGTGATCTGGGGCAAAGGACAGAAAAAATGATTGCTGAAACAAGCCAGGGCTTTCTCATCTACAGCAAGGGTTATGCTTACAACCTACCTTATGGGACTGTCTTCAGAAAAGATCACTTATTTCTAAAGTGTTTCTTGCAATAGTAGCTGGTTTACAGCAAGCACTGTAATAAACGTTAGATTTAATGTCACTTTCTGTGTCCTTTCAAGTGTTTGGTGGTCTCTTGCTCAGTGTTACTTGATTACATTCCACAGGATAAAAGGGTGAAAGTGTGGCCATTGTCTTAGGTTTATTTATGTATTTATTTGTTTATCTGTTTATTTGTATGTGTATGTGTGTATGTACTGATTGTCTATTATGTGCACCATACAGAAGAGGCCAGAAGAGGACATCAGATCCCCTGGAGCTGGAGTTACAAGCAATTGTGAGCTGCCTACTGTGAGTACTGGGAACTGAACCTGGGTCCTCTAGAAGAGCAGCCAGTGCTCTTAACCACTGAGCCTTCTCTCTAGCTCTACTATCTGAGGTTTATTTTTGTGTATTTTCCTGTAACATGATTATTCAAAAGTTTAAAGTTTAGACTATTTCAGCTTTCAACTTTTAGGACTATAAAATATGCTTTCCTTGGAGTCTTGAGTTATTAAAATTAAACTCTGGGATTTCAAAAATTAAACCAAAATAAAAACCAGGTTATATCTATCCAAGTATCTTAGGTACTTGTCATTTTTACTATTTTGTGGAAAGCATTCACTTACTAAAGCAGGAAGCAACTTGAGTTGTAAATCACTTTAAGGATATATGATCCCTGTACTATTTGCTCTATATGGTCCTTGAAAAAAGAATTCCATGCTCAAGATAAATTTGAGAAGTTTTTTTTTTTTAATCATTCTTTTGAAGAGTAAGAAGAAATTCCAAGGGCTAGAGAGATGGCTCAGCAGTTAAGGGCACTGGTTGCCTTCACAGAGGACCCAAGTTCAGTTTACAGCACCCACATGTTAGATAACAATCGTCTGTCTGTACCTCTACTTCTAGGGGATCTGACACCCTTTTCTGGCCTCTGCAGGCACTGCACACTTGTGGTACACTTACATACATGCAGGCAAAACATTCATACACATTAAGTAAAAAATACATAATAAATAAATTAAGAAGAAATTCCAGCACTCGGGAGGCAGAGGCAAGTCAATCTCTATGAGCTTTTGGCCAGCCTGGTCTACACAGTCAGTTTCTGACAAGTGAGGGCTACAATGAGATCCTGTCTCAGAGAATGAGGAGTTAGGGGGACGAGAGAGAGGAAGAGGGCAACTAGACAGCAAGATGATGATGCAAAAAAGAAAAAATGAAGGGTATGGTGGTATATGGCCTTTGTTTAATTTCAGTGCTCAGGCAGAGCAGGCAGACCTTGTGAACTCAAGGTCAGCTTGGTCTACATGAGGAATTCTAGGACAGTTAGGGTTACATAGTAAGACCCTGTCTCAAAACAAACAAACAAACAAAAACAAAACAAAACAACATTTTAAGGAGCCATACGAATTCTTTTTTGGATGAGCTGGTGACTCAGTGCAGCTGCCAAAGCAGGAAAAAGACTGTCTATTTCAAAGGGAAAACTTTGGCTATTTATAAGATTTTAATTTCAAGTAGTTAGAGAAAAAAATTTTTAAGTTGACATATCAGTTGAATATTCTTCAAAACTCTTCAGGTAGAAAGGAAGAGACCAATGGAAAAAGGATTAACAACAGTTGCTGACAAGAAGTCTTTGTGCCATTAAGGCCTCAGATCCAAACTTGGACAGTCTTCTGCTGATGGCAACACCAAGTTGCCAGCCCAGGTTTGGGGACTACCAATGTACTAGTGCAATGGGTATTTCTCACATGTTTAAAACCAAGGGACAGAAAGTAAAACTGTGAGAAATTCCTGGAAACATTACCAAACACCTGCCAAACAATAACTATACTGGAAAAGTTGACTTTGCAGGCCCTGTTTCATTAACGTCCACTTGAGAAAGGCTTTTATATCTGAATAACTGATCCCAGTGAATAGAGTTCAACTATCCACTCTTGGAGAGAACAAAAACTTGTAGTTGGCATTTCCCAACAGAGTTGTGCATGGGCCACCTCACATCCTCTGTTGTAGGAGAGAATATGTGCTGTCTCTTGGAATTTCCAGAATATAAGAATAAACCATGTGGGATACTGGAGACCCAGTTTGGCATGCTCATTGCCCACCTGTAAAGTAAATTTCCAGATTATCCGACAGTTTCACCCCTTATTGGGGATCTTCAGGCCTCTTATAAGGAGCCTATAAGAAGAAGCCTGATACTGAGGAGGAACTTAAAAAGTGCTCCAGAAGACTGGAGAGATAGTGCAGTTAGTAAAGCGTTTGCTGCATAAGCATGAGGATCTGAGCTGGATCCCCAGAACCCAAGTAAAAAAAATCCTAGTGTGGGGGGCTGGAGAGATGGCTCAGCAGTTAAGAACACTGGTTGTTCTTGCAGAAGACCCAGGTTTTGCACTGAATATATAAGCATTTTGTTATTGTTTGCATATAAGATACACTTGTACATCCAGAAATGAGTCTATTTGTGGTCACTTAAACTTGTAAGAAGCCTGAAATTTTGATTTTTTGCCACTGCTGTAGACCTATTATCCCACTGAACCACATATTCTGAATTCCGATTTCACAGTAGAAGCTAGAAAGATAGCTCAATGGTTAAGAGCACTAGGGGCTCTTGCAGTGGACCTGGGTTCGAATCCCAGCACCCACATGGTAGCTAACAATTGTCTGTAACTCCAGTCCCAGAGGATCCGACAGCCTCTTCTGACCTCTGCGGGCATTGCATGACATGAGTGCACATACCTACATGCAGGCAATACACGCATACACATTAAAAAAAAAAAATCCTAGTGTGGTGATACAGACTTGGAATCCCAGCCTTGGGGAGGCAGAGACAGGCAGATCCTGGTGACTGCTGGCCAGCTAGCCTAGTATAATTGGGGAGATCCAAACCAAAAACAAGGATAGCTCCTGAGGAACAACACTCACAGTTGCCCTCTGTCCATCATGCACATGAACATACATGTGGACACGCACCCACCCACATATGAATATACACATGTGCACATGCACACACATATATACAGAGATGTGTTCCAGAGTAAAAATCTAGACATAATGAAAGCTTAGGAACTACTCTGTGATGTCTGCCGCCAAGAGTGA